GTTGAAAGGATGTATTTTGACTACTTTATTATTTTAGAATATTTGTAGATCTTGAACATGTGCACAAGATGTCTGCAGAGATAAAAACTATAGTTACTTAATTGGCCCATACTTGAGGAAAATATTCAGTTCAGGGGAATATCCCCTTCCAGCCAAAGAAGGGTGAGTAAAAAGTTGTCTGTACAATTGTATCACTTTTAAAAATTCAATTTCTGGGAAAAGGAATCCAAACATATGGTTGATGTTCTAGACACATTTCAATTACAGTTTTGGGGCAATTTGTTGATGATCTGCAGTGAAACTGGAATGTGACTTTTGCAGTTCTGCTGGAGCTTTTAGACATCACAGTTGCTTTCAGAAGTATCAACAAGGCACCCTTCCAGATTATCTGATGGAACTGGCCCTTATAGGCCAGCTTTTACTGTCATTCCAGCCTTTCATATAAAGCAATACCCGATAACATGGTGGTTGGGAACTTCTATTTAATATCAAAGTTTTGATCTAAAGTTTCCCATAGATTCCCTTGTGTTCTCCCTGCAGTGTAACATCTACATAAAATTGCAGGGGAACACAGTAGCTGGGTGTTATCCAGACTGATGAACCCAGTTTTGGTGTTTATTAGCATTCAGATATTTTAGATACCTTTGAGTCTCGCTTAAGTCCAATAACGGATTGGATGAAGAACAAGGTGAAACCTATGTAATATTAATGTGTTACTGATAAATAGGTAACTCAACTCAGTGACTGTTTTGTACAGGGTTGTACTCTTCCATAAAGAGAAGTTCCATAGTTTGTTGAGTGTTCCTTAATCCTCAGATTTACTTAATTTAAAGAGGGCAACTATAGCAAGAAGTATATTTGCACAATTGTGGATAATGCCAATGCACTAATAATTATTCTACATTAGCAGAATTTAATGAGAATGACTATGCTGATTACACCTGACTATTGCAACTTATTGTACGTGGGCTACTCTTAAAAAGTGTTTAGCAACTACAGTACAACTACTGTAGTATAAAATCTAAATACCGTGTTTCTCTCACAAAATAAGGCCGGGCCTTGTTTTTTTTTTTGACCCCCGAAAAAACGGCTAGGCCGTCTTTTCGGGGGTGACTTAATTCCCCCCCTTGCATCCTCGAGTGGGCGGGTGGCGACAGCTTGGATGTTGACCTCGTCGTTGGTGGGGCACTTCGTATCGGGAGACCTCCCGCTCTAAATGCTGCGGCAGCAAGGGAGAAGGGAAAGCAACGGTGGCGGAAGGTCTCCTGATATGAAGTGCCCCACCAATGCAGGCAGCACCATATCCGGGCATGCAACGAAAGTACTTCCTAATGGCAAACCCCGCCCGCCTTTCCCCCCCCCATTTTCCATGTTTAATATGGGCCTTAATTTGGGGGGAGGGCTTAATTTGATTTTATGCCAATAAAACATGGTAGGGCTTCCTATTGGTGGAGGCCGTATTGTTGGAGAAACACGGTATATATGGTTCTGCTTATATCAGGAATTACTTTTCCTTGTATGAATTTGTTAAAATGGATAGAAGAGTTCCTTCTAAAGATGCCCTTGCTATTAGAGGTTTGCAGTCTGGCTGGGGAATTCTGGGAGCTTGAAATCCACACATTAAAGCTGTCAGAGTTGAGAAACACTGATGTTAAAAATTCATGTAGGCATATCTTTTACTAGTTTTTCATGTTAATATTAATGGTGATTCTTATTTTGATTTTTTGGAATTGTTAAAAAATGATAGATGGTTTAAATATTGTTGGGGTAGAAAGATGGAACATAAATCAAACTATGTTTCACAAACTATAATGGCTAGTTTTTAACACCCTACATCAAAAACAAGTAAGATACATTATAGTTTAGCAGAGCTGGTATTGCATCTGAACAAGCAGTCATCCTCAGCTTAAAATCAAAAACTCAAAACTAATCCTTGTTTGTAAGCTATCACAGATCACTGCCTCTTTGGATGAAATTCAAAGGCTTTGTTTCAACACGAAGATCAAGCATCGCTATGCAGTTTTGTGTTTATTTCACAAAAGTTCAGCTGCCACAAATTCCAAGGTTTTTTCTTTTCTTTTAGCATTTGTCCTACTTGTTGAGGAGTCTGCTGGAATGCTCTGTGCTTGCCTATTTCACAGAGCAAAGGCATCAAACCATGATGCAATGAGAGGTTAGGTCTTCAGCAGGCTAATCAGCTAACGTGATGCTGTTTGGGAGATGCGAAATAGAGACTGGCCCAAGGTCACCCAGCTGTCTTCTATGCCTAAGGGAGAACAAGAACCTTGGCCTCCCTACCGCTAGTCCAGCACTTAATTCCACCACCATAACTGCAGCGTATTGACACTCATTCTCAAGAAAAATGCAGCTGCTTTAAATTCTTGCAGAAATGTGTAACATTTCTATCATGTGTAAATCCACAACTACTCTTTGGTACAGAATTGGAAGCACTGATCTGTCCTTTCTTCAACTGCCATGCCTTGGGAAGGAGACTGAGACTCAAACCTCATTAACTTATTAAATTACTTAGCATTGTATTTGAATATCTCTATAGGAAACCACTATGGGTGACATTCTTACATACATCTATGCAAACTATTGGTTGTTGCCATTTATTAACTACTAATTCCTTTGGGTTAAATGTTGAGGAATGCATGCCTTTAACAGAGACTTTACTGTAGAGGACATATTGTCTTCAACAGATTCCACCAAAGCACAGGTCTGTTTAGGGGTAAAGAGAGATCACCTGACTGTTTTGCCTACAAGAGTCATTAGAAGAATGTTCCTGTGTAAGCACTGAGTGAGAACTCACTAAAACTGAATAAAAATGACACTGTCAAAAGGAAGACATGTCAGCAATAGCAAGGGATATACATCACCTACTCTAGCGAGATACAATTCAACACTATTAAAGTTTTTTTTTAAATAAACCATCTCTCCCTGCTGCATTGTAGCCAAGGCTTGATAATCAACTCCGCCCACAATAAAAAACAGGGAGAACGGAAAACCAAAAGGAGGAAAATCTAACCAGGAACTATGCCATTCTTATGGAACTGGGACTCCACATAGACCTCAAGATGGAAAATCATTTTCACGTGGCCATTTCCTCCTCCTCCTCCTCCTCCTCCTCCTCCTCCTCTCTAAGTAATTATTCTAAGCCAGGACTGGGAAGGGTGGTCCGAAGGGTAAGAGAAGAGGAAAAGGAGTGGTGTCTCCAGGAAGGATAGGAAGGGCTGCAGGATGTTAATGAGGCAGTAGGAAGCACGAAGCAAAACTCAGGGTCATGGCTTTCCCCTAATATGGTTGTAAAATCATTGAAGCCTTCATTCTTCATGCAGCCAGCATAAATAACCAAATGTTATCAACACACTCTCTCTCTCTTTCTCCCCACCCTCCCTCATTATGTCAGCCCTCTCTCACAGACTTCTGGACATTACAAATATTCCTAGATCACTGCTCTGCCCTCAAATATCTATGCCGAGGCATTTCATGGCCACTAAACTAAAAGCACTGAGATTCCCCATTTATTTTCACCTCTTCCATAACAGGCTCTTTCACCTCACACAATCTGACAAGGAGGAGGCCTCACATCAGCCACCATGATCGACTGGCAAATCTGTTTCCTGCCAATCAGCCTGGGAAGGTAAGATTTTTGTTTTGCCAGGGGCACCAACTTGTTGCTGCATTCACTTTGTCCAATCTCATGCTAGGTAATTCTGCTCCAGGGTCCTAAGGCATTGGAGAAAGGTCCATAACGCACATTTGCAAAAAAAAAAAAAAAAAACCAGACAAAGCTTTCAATTGTTTCAGCATTAGTCCTCCTGTCCCCCATCCCTTTCCAAATCCCAGCCCATCACCCTTTCAGGAACAATCTCCTCTCCCTGTATTGGGTGGAATTCAGGAACAATCTCCTCTCCCGGTTCCTTATTTTCTTAAGCATGATAAGAAAGACCATTATTGCCAACTATTTCAGAAATTCCACAAAATGTTGGATGCTATTCTTCTCTGTAAAGATGCAGAATGAAATGTTGAATTTTTTTCAGTAAACGGGAAAAACCACACATTGTTTATTTATATTGCAATATATTTTATAAGGTCCAATTCACAGGATAAGGAGAAGAAACAGATATAGAAAATATGTCTGCTTGGCTAACAAAACAAAAAAAAAAACCCCTGCTTTCCAAATCAACATGTTCATCTCAAAGCTGCTCCATGCTATGATTACAATACACCCACTCCCAGGAGATCAAAATGGGAAAGAGAAGAAGTTAAAGAAAAGAGATTGCACAAAGCCAATTTTTTAGGCCTGCCTAGGAAGAATGGTGATAGGTTCTGGAGCAGGCAAAGAAGAATTTTCCCACCCAGGAGCAGCGGCTCTTCCTAGTTATATCCGCTCTACTTTCATGGGAATACTTTTTTCTGCCGGAATAAGCGTTCAACAGGTTTTCAGACTTCTACAGAATTCCTTATTCGACCAAAGAATTCTGTGTTGCCGAGAAAGTTTGCATGGCTCCTTTTCCGTAAAACTTACAAACTTATGAAGCCAGTTGCTTCTTCTGCCCATATTTCTTTTTTTTTTTTCTCTCCCTGCGGGAAGGGGAACAAGAGAACCGGCGTCCGCCGCTCTCAGCAAAAGCGGGATCGGAGGGATCGCTCGCCTCCGTTCTCCCTTCCGAAAGCCGGCGGCGGCGGCGCAAAATCTTCCCAAGTCATCCCGGGGCGCGCACTCGTGTGTGCAAACGCGTGACCTCTCCCCAAAACGAGAGTGGGGGGGGAAGAGCCCTTACAGGAGGAGGCGGCAGGCCTTCAAAAGCGGGGGAAGTTCAGGTATCAGCCCACCTTTTCGAGGGGGGAAAAGCGGGGAAAAAGCCCCGCGAGAATCGACCTCGCGAGGCTTAGCTTCGAAGCCGAAAGGTAGCGGATTGCCCGACCGGACACGCCCTCCCCTCCATAGGCAAGTCGACGCGGTCACAAAAACCTCCACCGGGACCGACCCTTACCGTCATGTTGCCGTCGAAAGCGGACGGCTGTCAAGCCTCCCCGGGGACGTTTCAGTTATCAGCCCCCCCAAGCGACGCTAAAGTCCCCGCCGACCGCAGCGGCATCAATGGCCATTTCTCGCCTTCCGCTCGCTCGGCTCCGAACTCGCCTCGCTTCTCCGATCCGCCCAGGAGAAACTTTTTTTTTTTTCCTCCTTCTTCTTCTCCCCTTTTCCTCAAAACTTCCTGGCAGGCTCTTCCCCGCCAATAGGGACGTATCGAATTCCAACGTTCGTGACGCACTATCACCAAGCAGCCAACGAGGAAACAAGAACGAAGATGGGGGCGGAGCCCAGCTGCCCCGAGGCAAGAGTAACCAATGGGGGAGGCGGGCGCGAGAGACTAAAGCGGCGAGGGAGAGCAGGCAAAAGTTCGGCGAGAGGCGCCGCACGGTCCCTTCCCAGACGGGGATTGTGCGCCGGGCAGCGCCTGTCAGCCGCAGCAAAGGAGAGGTTGGCTGATTCAAAGCCAAGTTAAGAAAAAAAAAAAGCCTATGGTCCTACGGAAAGCCTTGGGGCGCGAATGCCGAATTACAGTCCGACGAAGAGGCTCGCAGTCCAGAATATCAGGGGCTTCCTCCTTTTTACCAACCCTCTAGATTCCCGCGCGTAATTCCTCCCCTGCCTTTCTCTAATCCTGGGAATGATTGGGAAGGAAAGAGGCGTCTGGGTTGTAATTTAAGAAAGGAGAAAAATAACTCTTACATTTCAGACTTCTCCGGTGGCATTTTTTCTAATTTGGTGTTAATTGTGTAAAGAAGCCTGAGAGGGGAAACCTAAGTAGGATTAAAAGTGTGTTTTGTGGAATTCATGATGATGGTTTACATATACATTCTGGCTTGCACAAATGGGAAGTGCAATAATAACCTGATAGCTTCAGCCTTTACGTTGATTTGGGGAAGAGAATCTATGGCTCCTATTTCTGCACAATGGCTGACAAGATCAGACACTCTGAAGTATGCAATGCTGTAAAATGAGTATTTACATTTCTGCCTTTGCCTAAACCAGAAAAAGTTACAGTTTCTATCATGCAATCCAAGAGGTATGAAGAACACTAATACTTTAAATGAAGGAAACCCAATTAGAGCAAGCATTGTGCCAATTACATTTCCTAAGTCAAAACAGGGAATGACAGCTTCAAGACCAAAAGCAGTTTTAAGTGTCAACCTTTTAAAAACAATCTGACTGCATTTCATTTCTTTTACCTTCATAATTCCCAGCTCCAGGGGTGGGATTCAAATTTTTTAACTACTGGTTCTGTGGCCATGGCTTAGTTGGCTTGGTGGTCATGTGACTGGATGGCCGTGGCTTGGTGGTCATGTTATTGGCTGGGCATGGCCAACTCAATATCACTCACATCAAGGCACACATCGCCTCGCCTCTCATGACTGGGGATGCTGCAACAATTGTAAGTGTGAAAAATGGCCATAAGTCATTTTTTTTCAGTGCCATTGTAACTTTGAACAGTCACTAAATGAACTGTTGTAAGTTGATAATTACCTGTACTGTTCATTGTTTTTTCTTAAATGGAGTTCTGTCAGGCAGCAAATGAAAAGCTTACTGCTTCAGAAAATGCACACTTCCCTTCACATTTTACCAGCACTAGCTGAACTTGTAATGACATGATCTCTGGAAAAGCCCTAAGAAATATGTAGCATTACCATCAATGCTTCATTCAACCAGGACACAATAGGCCCTAACTCTGCTTTCCAGGAAGTCAATTGACTTTGTAACCTAAAACTCTCTTAAATATATAAAGTAAGGAAAAAATGAAGCATTTTCAAGCATGCACAATTGGAAACAAAAGTACTTGCTTACTGTACAGCCCAGCTGTTTTGTTTGAGAAAATCTATTGATGCCCACGAAAAAAAATCACAAACTGTTTGATGAGAAGGTTCACTTGCTAGCAAGGAAAAATGCAGGATGATGGGAAGATAACACTATGTCAATGATAGCCATAGAGAAAACACACCATCCCGCACACCATATCCTAAACAGGGTGCTAAGCAGCTGCTTCTGTCTCCCACCTGTCAACCTTGCTCAATATTACATCTGTTGTAGCAAATCACTAAATTGCTTCCATCTTCAGTTAAAATTACATGGCTGTACTTAAGAAATTGCCATTTAAAATTACATGGCTGTACTTAAGAAATTGCCAGCTTTCGCTGTTGGGTATTTATAGGTTGTCTAATACAAGACCTTTTGTTTCCTAGAAAGAACAGAAATTATTGGCAAAGGTACTTCAACATTTTCTATTCACAAAATACAAGTTCTTCATTTTGAACATTCAGAAATGCAATAACATAGGGGTGAATTGCTTTATGAACAAAAGAAATGAGCCTACTATTTTATATTGCCCAACTCATTTGTAAGTATGTACTATTTACTAAAATATGCCAGTGGAACCTGAAAAACCAAGAGTTTTCTTGGATAGCCATGGAGCACGACATCCAGGGCAGCTCTCTCCCAGCTATACCAATCCCTCCCACTACTCCCTCCCCTCTCAGAAATCATGCAATTCGGAATACTTAGATGTAAAAAAATCTTAATACTTGGTATCTGTAAAAATATAAACAGGCCTATTTTTACAGCAAAAAAAATAATAATTGGATAATAGATTTTGTCTTTTAAAAAATTAAGATTGTATATTTGCAAACTCTCCTCAAACATGTATCTGTCTTGTACTATAGAATATAATCTCTTCCCACTCCAGAAATATTTGCATATAGCTTTAGGTCATTTCAGTGTCATCACTTCTAAATAGGGATTAATGGTTCTTTCAGGCTATTTACTTTGCTGCTGCCTCCCTTAAGGGTGTAACATGCTTAACAGTAGAGTCAGTGTCTGGAAGAGCAGATATACAGGTGCTAAACTGGCCTAAAGCACGAAGGCAGATTCATATCATCCACTTGCAGCTGCAATTTGAGCAGAGGCTTGCTCTAAAGGGGTTTTGGAGGGAGGGGGAAGGCATTGATGCAGTGTTTACAGAAGAGGCCAGCTGGCCAGCCATCTCCACCTGAACAATAAATAATAGTCCCCAATGTTGTCTACATGCCCTGCTATTCACGCGCTACTTTTTAAATCAGGTTTTCCAAGTTCAGATTCAATACTGCACTGTTCCTGGACCCAGGGGGGACTCTTCTCAGTCTTACACCCAAATATTACTGGGACTGGTATTCTTTAATCTTAAAGGAGGATCTAGAATTTTCGAGTTCTGTGCATTTCATTTACTTGCAGTCTATGACCATTTATTTGAAAACATTGAAATTTTCTGTGGGCTTATATCAGTAGTGTATTCCCCACGTGAGATATAATAAGTCTTTTTCATGTCAAGCTCCAACTCCTGATGATTTCATAGCTACTTCCATATTTTCTTGATCAGAATCCAGAAATGGCATTGCATTTTTACAAACTTTTTAAGCTAGCTAGTTTACTTCTGGTGCTACTATTTCTTAGTGGTTTCTAACTCTCCTTGGTTTCTGAGATCAGTCAGGCTTGGCTGATCTCAGTACCTCCAGCCCCCTAAGAAGAGGAAGAGTTGCTCAGGAACAGAGTACCAGCTTTAAAAGTAATAAGGCACACAGCCATTGACACCTCCTGCAAAAAGCATCTAGTGGAGAAAGATGGGAAACTCCTCTGAAGAGCAATTCTCATCAGAATAATACTGTATTTAACTAAATAGATCAGCAGACTGATCATATATAAGGCAGTTGCCTGTATTCCTACGAGAACACACAAATCTGCTTTTCAGATTCTTATAATTACAGTATTTGTCCAGGATATATTAATAGGCACCTGAAAGTGCTAAACTCATGCCAAGTATGCCCAGAAGAATTGTTAATTATTCTTTCCAAAACAAAGTATAAGGCTTTTTTGAAGTGACAACAGTAGGCAATGCTGAACAGCTAAATGAAGAGTAGACAACCTGTGGCCATGCAGATATTCAGGACTTCATTTCCTAATAGTTCCTTCCCTTTTGACCATGTTGACTGGAACTGAAGAAATCCAAAACTTAGGACATCAAGTTGCATCTACTTGAGCCAAAGGATATAAAGTTGTACTATACCTTATGTTTCTTACTGGAGTCCAGATAAAGGATTTGACTTCTAGAGGAACAAGCACTTGTTGCAATATGCCCTTCACATTGCTGCTTCTACAAAGGAAAAAAATATTTTTGAAAAATCTCCATTTCCTCCATTAATGGGATAATTTAAAAAAAGCCTCAAAAAGCAAAAATTACTTCTGTTCAGAAGCCAATGCATGTCTTTGTCAAGGATTTTTAAATTAAATAATCATAGTTATATGTGTTTATAAAACAGAAATTCTAAGCTATTTTAGTGCTTTACACAATATCAGTATAAATATGTTATTTTATATCACACTGAAAACTTTTATATTCTATGTAGTTCTGATTGCTTACAATAGCCCTTTTCTAATAACTTTTCAACAGTTCAGATTTGCTCTGCTGAATGAGTAAGCCTTCCTCTATATTAATACTGCATATGCAGCAACCGTTGGTGGACATTTGGCTAGTTAAATAAGCCATGGTTTTTAAAATCCTGAAAACGGACGTTAGAGCCATGAAACCACAAATCCACAAAGATGTAATAGCTGCATTTTTCTATTTTTATATAATTCCACTCCTTAACTCATACAATAATGCCAATGACATATTTTATAGGGTCACACACTGCACATACATGCTTAAAATTGAGACATATCAATGTTGCTTCAGGAGACAGAAAACAGGATTCTTCTCTGAAGCATGCCTGATTATCCACCCTGCATTTTGAGGACCAGGCAGAAGACAGAAACAAAAAGAAAATATGGGACAACATGAAAGCAATTTCAGGCATTGTTTTTAATCTCTTCCTTACCATTCTTTCCTTATTATTTCCCAGATGCTTCTCTGCTGTTGAGGGGCTGGGACACCTCTGCCAGTTTATCCATTTATCCTCTGCCCATTTTTCTGGAGTTCCTTGGTTTTTCCTGTTATCCTCCAACTGTTGCTGCCCTGGCTTGGCAGAATGAAAGCACTCCCCTTGGTTTATCCACTCTTTTTCCAAGGATGGCATTGGATGTACATGGCTCTGGGAGCTTTCTTGAATTCTTGGGACAGTCTCTGGTTTGATGGAGTGTGCAAGAGCTTCTTGGACCATCCCTTTCTGTCCAAAAACTGTAGGGTCTGGGGGGCTAAAGGATGTGCAACAACCCTTCAAGTCATTCACTTTCTTAGGAGTGAAAGCAATTGAATGGTCTCCTTTGCTCAGCCCATCACTACTGGCACTGGCCCTTAAACTCCTGGCTTCCCTTCGACTTTTCCAGTTATTCTCTTGGCGCTGCTGTGAAGCAGCACAGCATCTTGCCTGCTCAAAGCATAATTGGGTACTTTCCATCAAACTCCCAGGACTTGGAGAATGTCTGAGCTCTTTCAAGTTGTTCCAGTTGTCTTCCTTGAATCTCCCTGGACCACAAGAGTTTCTGATATCTCTTTTGCTTCTACTAGCAGATATTCCAGGACTAGAGCTATTCACAGCTGCACTAGGACATTTCAAACCGATTTCCATTTCTTTCCTAGGATTAAAAGAATACTTTTTCACTTCTTGGGCTCCGCACTGATCATGCCCAAACCTTGAACAAACCACTGGCCGCCCCTCTTTCCCTCTAGCTGCTATTTCACTTCTTGAGCCAACGGCACAAATAACATCTTGGGAGTCTCTTATGTTCTTTCTTGGCTGGTCAACTGTACCTACAAGGAGCAAAGGTTTTCCTCGTGCCTTCCGGTCACTTTCTTTATACCTATCTAGTTGCCTTGTGAGCCTTGCTTGATTCTTGTCCAAAGTCTTTGGAGGGTTAGCAGTATGCAAGGTACTTGGATTGCTTTTCCATCTAGCATCTGTGTCATTCTTTCCAGGGCTCTTGTGATGTGAGATCTCTGCTGGTCTCTTTTTATCATTATCCACTTGCCTCCCATGACTCATAGGACAAAGGGCAGCCCTCTCTGCACTGGAAGTCAAACGGGACACAAGCTCCTCCAATTTCCTTCCTTGTCTCTCCATCTTCTGAGAGGTTGAAGTTGTTGAGTACAGAGGCATCCCTCTACTTTGAATTTCTCTCTGTGATTGCTGATTTGGGTTCTTTAAGTGCAAGGATTCACCATGGCTCTGGCTACTTATCTTGAGTTGCTGTTCTGCTCTTCCTATGCAAAGAGATTCTCTTTTCCTGGGCTGTTCTGGCTCCCATGGAAATCTTTTCTTCACCTGTAGCAGATAAGGGAAGAGAACAAATTATGCAAGTCCCATCAATGTACCTATTGCAAACAGTTAAACTTAATAAATTACCTTGGAAATTGGAAATCCATTAGAAAAACATTTCTCATGCTGAAATTTATAACTTGAAAAATTCAATTTCCTACAGTGGCTAGTTTCCTCACATTCCTTTTTATTCTTCAGTAGTAAAACCTCTCTCTCACTGTTGAATACTCAATACAAGGCAATGTAGTTTATTAAATAAAACACAAATCCTATAAAACTTGTTCTCATTAGCAGGGGCTGAAATAACTGCTTCATTCCACTTAATGTGATAGTAAAGCCATCCTTATTCAATCAAACCTGCTTGAATTTACCAAGATTCTTTGCTGAATTAAGTCTTCTATGTATCCTCCACTGCCTTATAGTCCCAAGCAGAAATATTTAATTAAAGCAATATTTTTAAAAGATATGTATATTCTATGTTCCAAAAGAAGTGCTGCCATTTCTTTTAGAACATGAAATTGAAGGTTCTCTAGATATTGTACAGAACTATAAATATCATTGATGCCTGTGATTGGAAGTGTTGGGATTTGGAGATAAGCAACTAGCAGTCAACTAGAGATAGTGGAGTTCTAAGATTTAAGTAGATGGGTGTTATATATCCAGAAAAACATTCTACTCTAAAGCTCAATAGCTCAAGACCAGTGTTTCGCAATCCAACATCTTCCAGATTGGTTGGAATTGCAATTCCCATAATTCTCCAAGCATACTGATTAGGAATTCTGGGGATTATAATGTCAGCACGTCTAGAAACCAGTAATGTAGGTCAATGTAGTAATGGTTAAAACATTAATTTGGCGGAGTTAGGAAAATCAATGATTACTCATTGGATACTTTTCTAAATCTTCTGAGATTTTCTTTGACATTTTCAACATGCTTACAAGCCTGCTTTGTAGTCCAGGATGCTAAAAACCACAGCATGTTCTATGGATATTGCAAGTAGTTCTCAAAAAATTCTAAATCTGAAATACTGAAAAGGCTAAATTCTGCCCTAGTAAGGAATTTTCAAAATATATGGAACATTCTCAACAGTCCAGAAAAGTTCACATAGTGCAATCAAAAAATCAGTATCAGATTAACTGGTCAAGCAGGTTATTCTGAGCTGACCTCTGACCCTCCCATGCCCTTGCTGCCCCCAGCAATTACTATCAGTATATTTAACACAAACAACAAAAGATTATTTTGTGAAGATAAAGTAGATCCCTACATTGTGTTGGTTCATACATAGTGGCTATTTTTCAGATCTATGTTCATATCTATTATTACAAGTACAGACATGCCCTGAGACTTGGCCACTGGCAGCCACCACTAGCAGTTGAGAAAATTAAAATATAGGTTTCAACTATTTTTAGTTGCCATGCCCACACATGAAAAAGTGTTCTGTCATCCTTTGGCAAATAAAATAGGAAAGCAATTTCTTCCCAACACCACAATGCAAAGATGTTTATAAGGGACAATCTGATATCCTTGCAAAACTAGCACATCAAAGGGAGGGTTAAATTGGTTTGCTTCTCCCTTGCACCATGGTGAATTTTGTGCAACCAGGAAGAGTTTGTCACCACAGCATTTTCAAGATAACAACTCTTCTTATATGCTTAGAAGTGGTACAATCTTCAGCTGTTGTGGATTGGTCTGTTCCTCAGTATTCCACCACACAGTTGAAAAATGAAGCCGAAAAAGCAAGAATTTCATTCTTTGAGGTTGACCACCACAGAAAGCAAGACAAATCAAGGAATGCAACACTGAAGATATTTTTTCTTTCCCCCTTCAGTATCCAGCTAGTAAATGGAACTGAAATTCTGCCTGTGGGCCAGCCACTCACTTCTCGGCACAGGGTGGGGCTCGATCGCCTTCTGACTAATCGCCCTTCCTTGGCCAGCTTCAAGGACTTGCTGTCCAAATGTTCCAGGAGGCCCTCTTCCAGTGCCTGGAAGACTTCCAGGGTCTCTGACTTCCTAACAACCAAAAATAAAGGGACAGTCTTCAGAAACAATTGAAATAACCTGCAAAGGATCTCCAGATTCAAATCAAGGGTTAATATGAGCATTTACACTCCAGTATATGTTTTTAATATTATTTCTAATACCTGTAAAAACTTTTCCCTGTCTGGTAGCTTTGAGCCATGTTTGATCATAAAATCCATTCTCCCAAAGTCAAATGTATGTTGGTATAATAGGTATGCAATGCAGGCAGTCCTTGACTTGTGACCACAACTGAACCCAGAATTTTGGTCGGAAGTCAAGTCACCACATGAGTAGACCAGTAGTGGGATTCAAATATTGTTGCCACCAGTTCGGTGGGCGTGGCTTTGCGTGCATGCACATACTTTGCATGCATGCGTGCACCAAACGTGTATTTTGCGCAGGCACAGAGCTGTTCTAACTCGCCTCCTGCAAGCCTGCATGATTCCGGTTGCTTCAGCAGCTGCCACGTGGCACTCTTCTGTGCCACGCAAAGCAGCTGCGCTTCAAATTCAGCGGATAAAGGTGAGTATGGGAGCCTTGGCGGGTGGGTGGGCCCAACAGCAGAGCCATTAGAGCAGCGGAGAGAACTGGTTCGGTCTTTGCTGCTCATCGCTCCTACTGGCTCTCCAGAACCAGGCAGAACAGGTCGAATACCACCACTGGAGTAGACTCGATTTTATGACTACTTTTATGATGATTGTCAAGCGAGTCACTACAGTTAGGAGAGGGGATGGGTCCAAGTGGTAGGCGAGTGGGCACAGCTCCACCTGCGCAAGCGACAGGCATGTGTGTCCCATCCCCACTCAAACAAGGGGAGCTGTGCATGCATGCTCGGTTGCCTGCTGCATGCACAAGAGGAGGTATGTGTGTACTTGCCCACTGCTTCCGTGGCCCAGTTCTGAATGGGCTGCAGCCCAGGGTTTGGGGATTCTACCAGTTTGCACCTATTCTCTAAAACCGGTTGTTAACATTCTAAGCAGTTGGAGAACTGGTTGTTAGAAGAAATTACTGGCCTAATCCTGTAAGGAAGGCAGGAAGGAAACATTCTGGTGTTGCTTACAGAAACTGCCTCTCCATTAACCCTTATTACATTCTTGGCAGGACTAGACTTCCTGTCTCAGGAACTTCTCTGGAGTTTTTTTTTCCCTCCTTTGCTGGTACTTTGCTTGTGTGGAGTGATCATTCAAAGTTACAATGGCACTGAAAAAAGTGACTTATGACCATTTTTCACACTTACGACTGTTGCAGCATCCCCACAGTCATGAGAGGCCAGGTGAGGGGATGCATGCCTTGATGTGAGTGATGTTGAGTTGGCCACGCCCAGTCAGTCACATGACCACCAAGCCACACCCACCAACTAAGCCACACCCACAGAACCGGTTGTTAAAAAATTTGAATCCCACCCCTGGCTGCAGCCCAAGGCTTGGGGATTCCCTGCTCTAATGGGACCAAAAGGAACGTTCTCCATATTGTCACAGATGAATCTTTGCAGTAATATTGTTTGCACAAAGACTTATCTAGTTCCCATGCTTGTGGCTGAGAGAGGATGCAGTTTGGGACACAACAGCATTTCTTACCTGCGTTCCTGCCCAAAAATCCGTTCCACCTCTGCTCGGCCTGGGCTACGAGCACGGCTGTGCTCTTTTTCAAAAGCCTCCTGGTGACGGAGCCGTTTGGCCTTGGGCAAGTCAGCCAAGATTGTATAGTTCTGCTTTATCAGCCCACATCGGCCCTCATTGCTGCCACTCTTGTGAAAGTTCAGCTTGGAATCTGCCAAGCTGAGGGAGGCTCCTGTGGCCTTGCTAGGAGTGGGCAACATGCTATGATTAGGACAGGAAGTGGAAGAGATCCAATTTGACTCTGATTTACAACACTCCAAAGAGAAATAGCCACTCTCAGCTTGATGCTTCCTCCTGCTGTCGCCACAGTCCTGGCTCATAGCCCTGGATTCTTGAAGGAAGAAAAAATGTCATAATGACAAATTGTTTGAAAAAGGTGCACATTCCTAGGGAGAATACAGTTCAAAACATCTCTGAACAGAGTTGCTTTTAAGACCGAATTGGGAAACACAGACCCCAAAGCACTAACAAAAGGCATTCTGGCTTATTCTTTATCAGAATCTTCTTAGTGTTATTCTAGACCAAATGTACTCCGGACATGATGAACTACCAGTTTCTAAGCCTCAGCCTGCCTGCCCCTTGGCTGTGCTGGCTAGTGAAAACATGAGTTACAATCCAAGTATGTAAGTGATGCCAGTTTGGTGAAGTCTCTTTGATTATCAATTATGCTTGTTGATGGCCAAATTGACATAGCAGACCCTTCTGGCCAATAGAAAGCTTGATTTAAAAATACTTATGTGGCTAGGGAGTTTAAAAACAACCTTTTGGCATTTACATGATGAGCAAAAAGGAAAGCCCTCAATCTCCATCTAATAATTTCAAGGTGGTTGAAAGGAACTGTGAGTAGATGAGGATAAATATGGTTTTGACTGGTTGCAGTTGCAGCTTTTCCACCACCACTCAGGACAAAATAAGTCTTCATCATCAATGAGGAGAGTAAGATGAAAAAACAGATAATCTTTACAAATAAGATTTGTAATTGAACATTTTGTACACTGAACTAAAGCAATGTGCATTCCATTTCTTCATGAGGCCATTCCATGAATAGATTCCAGTTTCTAGCTCTGAGATATGATCTGGAGAATGCCAGTTTTCAAAGAAGGGAGGGAAGAAGTACTTATAAGCCCCTGGCACAAACTTGTTCGCACAGTGTATGGAACTATTACTGAATAAATAAATATTAGTATTTAGTAATACAAAGGCTATTTAGATATCCAATGAAGACAGGGCTGGGCTCTCACTGGTCAAGGAAAAGACTTTAGTGCCTAATACTGGTTCATTTTCTCTTCCTCCTACATTTTCTTGGTTTTTTCCGCCTTCTCTGGGAGGTTATTTTGAATTTTTAATCTGCTTCTTAATATTACTTTCTTCTGCAGCTTCTGGGTGAGGATCTATAAGGGGTTAGACATTCCTATGAGTGGAGACAACGCCGCAGCAAAGATTGCTAGTTCTGACCAACAAAATTTTTCCCAGAGAAGAGACCAAGAGATCATCCACTTGTGTTCTACAGTAGAAGAGGAGACCACAGGAATTAACCTTCTTGCGATCAATCATAGGTTGAGTGGCTTGGAAGTAGAGGGATTACCACTCAAAAATACTGTGCAGCCCTTTATGGACACTTGACTAACCAAAGCCTCACTTTAAAAAAAAAATCTGATATAATTAATTTATGTCTTAAGAAAGATTTTCTAAGCAACAAGAAAGAATAAAGACACTCAGTGTCTTTTTGGAATTAAGCCTTCTTTTTGGAATTAAGAAGAGAGAAAAAAACTAATTTTGATGTAAAAGCAAACAACTTAACAAGATTGTGATTTAAATTTTTAACAGATAAAGGGCACAATAATTTTAGAAACAAAAGAATTGTGTTTGACGTCTCTTTAAAAATAGTAAAATTAACTAGACAACTAAACTGAAACTTTAGGGGAATATTGATTATTTATTAAAGAAATTAGATACTTGATGGATTTTACAAAATAAGAAGATAAGTAATGTGAGTCCGATTGTGTGACTGTAACTATGGAGAGCTAATTAGGACTAAAATGTTAAAGACAGAGAGAGCAAAACAGGAAAACTCCCCAGAGAAGATTACTCACCAAATTAAGCTTCTACAGAGGTGGTTGTCTATGTTGACAATGAGAGAGATGGAACTAAAAATGAATTATGCAAAATGGCCGGCATATGTTGTGAAAAGAAAAATAAAGTAATACTAAAGTTACAAGAAGGAAATACTGCAATAACAGATAATGCAAATATGCAGAATTATTTCTCCAGCATTGTTCTACTCTATATAAAAGAGCAAGAAAAACATAGTAAAACAAGAAAGGCAGCTGGCCCAAATGGTCTGCTGGCCTCTTATTATAAATGTTTTGAGGATGAATGTTTATAACATTTACAACAAACAATGAATATTATTCTACAGAATGGAAAGATTCCTGACAGATGGAAAGAGGCCAACATAGCATCATAGGGTTTTAGAAAGAAGAGGATTATGGTGTAATTCTACAGAGAAGTTTGATTAGAATTGTATGTATGACTGCCAAGAGGATGATCAGAAGCATTTTCCATGTTTTCTGGTATCTTCTCTTTTCTTTTTTTCTATCTTTTTTCTGATATTTTTTTCTTTAAAAAGTACTTGTATATAAAATCCTTTAATAAAAACTATTTTAAAAAGTATTATTTCCTTTTGCCCTTCAACCACCTCTAACCTGACTAAAATCGTCAAGTTCTTTGAAACCTAGATAGGGCTTTTCCTACAACCATACAATATTTCCTGACTACTATTTGAAATCCAGTGTAACAGAAAGTTATGTGAATTGAAGACCAATACATCTGGAAGGCATAATATTAGAGAGGATTGATATAAATGGTGGAGCAAAATTAACTGTGTGCATGAGTTGAGAGAGAAAATAATTTTTATTCTATTTATAAAATAAATAAAAAACATTTTTTATTTAAATGCAGATTTGTTTTCCGTTGTGGAGCACTAGGACAGGAGTTGAGCATTTCCTAAAAATAAGGTCAACAGAAAGTTGTTGGTGATAAGAAAACATACCTGGTTTTAGACAACTCCAAGACACTGTTCTTCTACAGGATGTTGCCTCGGCCCACCTGTGCCTATCAGAGTGCAAGTTTTCAGACTGTACCTTTTCCTTCAGACTTGCAATGTGTAGTGAGTTTTTTTTTTCAGATTCCAAAATGTTGCTGAGCAGTCTAGTCATTTCCTGGTCCTAAGTGAATAAGAATTAGCATGTCACTAAAAAGTCCCTACCAAGAATCAGATTTATTCATGTACTTGTATTTCATAAGGTGAGAATGTTGAAAAATAGTGAGGTTGAAGGTATATGAAGGATTATTAAAATACTGGTCTTTTGCTTGTTAAATGGATGTACAACTTGTTTAAAGTTTGTGTGAAGACTGCATCAGGATCTGACAATTAGAATAATGTTATTATTCTTTTGAAGAGAACAGTTTTAAGAGTGAATGCAATATTTACCAGTCTGGTTTGTTAACTCTGCCTGCAAAAGTTATTTTGGCAGAATTCTGACTAGAAGGTTTCCAGAAGGAGACAATAAGCAAATTTTGGGAAGTGCTATATAGTCCTGTACTAGGAGAGAATGTGCAGACTCTGCCCTTTAGGTCACTGAAAAATGTATGAATGGAAAAAAGTTCATTGTACATTTGTTGATTTAGAGAAAGCATGGTAAAAAGAATAAAGTTAACTATGGAATGTTTTGCATGCATATGGACTAGTAGATTGTTAAAGTAGATATGAGAATTGATATCTCACCTCACTAAGCATGGCATTGCCACCTGCATCAGTGCTGAGAGTATTGCTGGCATCAGGGCATGTATTTGCTGCTTCAGATTCTTCATTGCTGCAGTTGAGCAGGGTATATCCCAACCTTTCCTGCTGGCTGTGGGGAAGAAGAAGTGAAACAAATGAGAACCACCAACATTTCAGGTACAGTTGTAATGTTAAGAGCTATGTCTATAATAGAAACTTGTTTAGAAGGCTCAGCCTTGCTTTAAAAAAACTTGTGCTCAAAACCAATGGTTATACTAATTAGTTAATGCAAATCTCCAGATTTAATTATTTTTATTTGGTGGTGACTTTACTGACTTAAACTTATGTCACATGAGTCACATTTGGACGTTCTACTCATTCTGCTAAGCAAAATTCTATATTTTTGCCCTGCTCCTCTATCATCATTGATCTACTATAAGAGCCAAAAATGAATGTATTAATTTCACTGCTTTCCTCCTAGTTGTCTGAAGAAGGCTGGATGTCTCCTATTGGCCAAGAAAGAAGTAAGGTTGTAGTTTAAGTGGGAGAAACTCTGTATAGAATCCAACCAGCAATGGATTTTACTACTTTGAGATACTTCCATGCAAATCATTTAATAGCACCGTTCTCTGATCACGCTAAAACTGAAATACTAGGTTTTACTTTATCTTTGTTTATATCTCATCTTTATTATTTTTACAAATAACTCAAGGCAGTAAACATATCCAAATACACCTTCTTCCTCCTATTTTCCCAACAACAATAACAACCATGTGAGGTGAGTTGGGCTGAAAGAAGAAACTTATGAAATGTTTTAGCTTCCTGGAAATTTGGATGATGTAAGGGAACTTTACATCAACAAATAGTCATTTCTCAAAAATATTTACAAGTCTCTCAATAAAAATAACATTGAAAAGAATGTTTGTATACAATACGAACAGCCAATTAAATGGACCATACTGAACATCTTCCCCTTATCAAATAACCCAGTTCAATTACATGACTACTAATAAAAAACCCACTTGAAATTAACATATCACACAATAAAAGAACTGCTTCCAACATTATTATTATTTCCTTACGGTTAACATGAAAAGAGTGAACGGCTGAGGATAACTAGTGACATCACAGAATGTGAGATACAAACAGTAGATTCTTCCTTTCACTTGTATCTCAGGAGAAAATGAATTTCATTTTGATTTTTTTTCCAAAAAGGAAAAAAATACTATATTGCCAATTTAAAAAATAATTTAAAAATGTTCTCAACAATGTGAAGAGATTCCAACAGATGAAAAATTTGACAATACACAGAATTTCTAAGTGCTGTCCAATTTTGTGCTAACAACCATCAGGACCACTACAGCCAGTTAATGCCATTATCTTTCTACTTCTATTTTCAGATCTTAATACTTTGTGATCTTCTCCAATTCTTAACATTATTATTTCAGAAATGGTTTGTTATCTTCTTCCTGGGACTGCGAGTGAGTGACTGGCCCAGGGTCACCCAGCTGGCTTTGTGCCTATGGTGGGATTAGAACTCACAGTCTCCCAGTTTCTAGCCCACTGCTTTAACCACTACACCAAACTGGATGTCATGTGTATTAATATCACTTTATATGTAAGGCCTGTGGACATTATGCAAAATCACATGTTGTCTACCATATAAAATTTTTGATCATTCCTATTATATACTTTTGAAGCTTGACCAGGAAACTCTGCATGCCTACTGAAGAACCAGCTATAAGTTTCAAAAATAAACCATCTTTTGCCTCACAAATATAGTACTTGCCTTTCTCTTCTGTCTTCAGAGCCCACATATACATAGACTTTACACTGGGATGCTAGAATGCACAAGGGGTCCCATGGATCAGCAGGATCAGATTCGCTGATATTATTAGAAATACATTTAGGAAGGTTTATGACATCTTTTTTGAATACCTGTCAGGAAGAATTGAGAAGCTATAAAACATGGGCACAGAGGTACTTTAATGCTTCTTCAGTAGCTCTCTGAGGAAAGACGGGGTTACCTTCTGTAAGCAATTAAAATCACCATTATTCCAATGAGCCTTTGGCCTCTGTTGGTTTGATTATTAGGTGTCCATCTTTTGGTTATCTGATTTTATTTTAATTCAGTTTGTTGAGTTTTATAACTTTTGTTTTGATGTGTTATAGTGCATTGCCCAGAATCCTTCAATACAGGTAGTCCTTGACTTACAGCCATCATTGAGTCCAACGTTTTTGTTACTAAGCGAGACATTTGTTAAGTGAATTTTACCCCATTTTACAACCTTTCTTGCCACAGTTGTTAAGTGAATCACTGCAGCTGCTAAATTTAGAATCTGGCTTTCCCATTGACTGGGCTTATCAGAAGGCCTCAAAAGGTGACTCTGGCATACCACAACGGTCATAAATGTGATTTGATTGTCCAGCATCTGAATTTTGATCACGTGACCATGGGGATGCTGTAACGGTCGTAAGTGTGAAAAATACTTTTTTCAATGCCGTTGTAACTTTTCATGGTCACTAACTGAACTGTTCTAAGTCAAGGACTACCTACACTGGGACTCACTGCAGCACCTGAACAAAAAATATCTCAAATATTTTATTCATTTTACAACATTTAAGTTCACCTTCAGTCATGATTACGGCTGGGAAATCTGGGCCAGTCATGCTCTTAGACCAACCAATCAGGTTAATTGTTACGATTCTCATGTTAACCTCCTTGAGCTCCTGAAGGGAAGGTTGATATAACCTAACAGAGGGGCCTAGAATGCACTTTGAACATCCTGAACCAAAAAGCTCATAGAATAAAAAATATGAATAGCCCATTCCAACACTGGTCTCCAACATCTCAGTCAACTTCCTCTGGCCATTGGTGTCCACCTTTCTTCAGAGGGGATAACTTATCTTAACATTTAAGATAGTAATCTAGTGCCAACAACACATTTGCAATATAGCTTTCCCCAGCCAGAGATACAAGATTTATAGTCCAAAATATCTGAAGAGAGGTCATGCACTAGCTACTCGTATCACACCGAAATCTCTTCATGAACACATCTTTGTCTGGCAATATTTCTAAGCTCCCACTCAGGCGGAGCTCACATACTGTTCAAAGCCAAGGTTGTTGAAAAAGCCATTAGCTGGGTTCACACAACACCAAAGTCAAAACCAAACCAACCAATACAGCTTCATGTAATGTACAAACCCAATTAGAGGGCACTTTTTTTTATTTCTAGCTTATGCCAGGCTAATGAAATAATTGTATACTGAAGGTTACAATTGGTCACCCCAGTTCCAATTCTGCAGACAATGTTAAACCACAGATTTGCAACTGTACTTGGGTCTTAGTGAAGGTGGAGATTACCTGACTGATAGGTTGAATTCACATACCACAGAGCCATAAACCACTATTTAGAAGTGAAAATCAATCATATTATGGCTTAGCATACGGTTCCTGGTCAAGCCCATAGTCTACCAAGGATGAACCATCTAATGGGAAGCACTGCCCGCTCTGCTCCAGAGAAATGGAGTGGCTAGCAGCAGGGGTGTAGGTGAAGTATCCTCTCCTACTCAGATCCTAAGTTGAATTTCAAATGTGCCTGTCCCTTTAAGAGCATCCTATCGCCTTATTAAGCTAGAGAGCTATCCACCACCTCATCCCAGTCGGGTTACCTTAACAGGTTTTGATCAGCAAAGGGAGGGTCCCTAGCAGACTGGCTGTCAGCACCTCCATTTCCCTTCCATTGTCCTGCTGAAGCTCAGGAGGACTGGCTCTGGGCTGCACATAGCTACGCCAGAAGGAAATTCTAGAGGGCCAGGACTGGAGAGAAGAAACCTCATTACTATTTCATAATCCTGGGCTGATGCAGCCCACTGAACAAGACATAATATAAACCCCTTTGTTTACAGTATACAAGTTGGCACTGTATAAGGAGGGACAGTGCTGACATTCAGCCAGTCTACACCAGGCCAGAAAGCATCCTACAGCACTGCAGAAAATAAACAGGGCAGTTTCACCTGCTGAATGGCTGCCTGCCACATAGCAATGAAAGACACAGAATTCCTAGCCCTTTAGAAAAGAAACTTATCAGGATCTCCACAGTAGACACTGAGCTGTTATTTTAAGCCACTGATACTACTAATACTATCCTTAATTTATCAAGTTTTGTTTACTAAAGTTTAGAATTTTATGGATATTCCACATTTGCAAACAGCACTAAAGCAAGAAAGCAAGCTATGGGGAAGGACTGTTCTTTCATTTGGCAAGCCATCATTGTTTTAGGAAGTACTGGGGCTATGACAAGAATACTCTGCCTTCTTCAGGATGCTCCAAAACAGGAAAATAGAGGATAATCACTTCTGATACTTGCAGCAGCCTCTCTCCACCCATTTAGCAATCTTCAGCATGCTACCTGAGAATTGGAAGTGGGGGGGGGGGGGCGAATCTAAGATCTCTAAGAACACCAGGTGGAGGAAGGTTAGCTTACAGTCTGAATAATCAACCTTCTGGTATAATAGGCAGTTGCAGAAAGCTGAATTTAAGTAGATGTAGTGTTATAAGAATAAAAAAGGACATTATTTTCAATATTCCCACTTCACATTTTTAAAAGTAGACAAAGGGACATGGCTTGCTGGTTCTGTGGCCAAGGAACCCTGGTGAAAGCATCAACCTAAGCAGAAGTCAAAGGAATCTAGAGAGAACAAAAGGAAATAGAATAAATCCCAAATAAAGAACAGCCAGCAGTCCCAACTAAGCTATTGAGAACAGCTTATGAAGAAAATGCCCCGTCATCTAATTCTCCTGGTGGGAGCAATGGAAAGAGGATGAGGCAATTTTCTCCCTAGGTATTTCAACCACAACAACCTCCCCTATCCCAAACTTAGCATAGGATCATGGATCAGCACATCTAAAATATTTTTGAGGAGAGACTGCAAATATTCAAAGTCATCCTGACTTCCTTGCAGTTCTGAAAAATAGGTAGATAACTTTGGAGAAGATCTCTCTTGAATCTGAAGTCACTTGCCATTTTTCATACTGGCTAATGATAGTTAAAGTCAATATATCTGGAGGCCACTGTGCTTATTCCACAATTATCTGAGTGCTTATTTCTAAGATAAATCATTTAGTCATTCTATCACTATTACAACATACATATAATTTTTATTTCTGTGGTATGACTATTGAATTCCAGACCTGCTTTAAATGTACCACCTTTCTTATAATCACTCCGCGAAGTATCCAAAGTTTGAATTTTCTTGTGTTTCAAATGAAGAATTCCATAGATACATGCCCATTTTTTCAGATCTGGCAAGATACAACTATATTCCATCCCTTGACAGTCCGCTCTTTGAGATCCCTGTCCGTCATATATTATCACAGTGCCTGTAGACCACTCCAGCAATTTGTTATATTCTGTATTTAGAACCGCATAAGAAATTTGGCTTGGCAAGTCAAAATACCCCAAAATACTGAAATTGATTAAGCTAACTACTGAAATTTATTTTAAGATTACTTTAGTCATGTGCTATTCTTCATGAAAATTATATTTATTCTAGGCTGGTTCAGTATATTGTACATCGACTTACATTTAATGTAACTGATTTTATTTATACATTTTTCCCTTTTGATGTTTTAAAATTGCAATCTACCGTATGAGAAGTGCATCACAACAAAGATAAAGATTCCTTGAGTTCAGGTCAGCTCCTGGCAACTACATAAATAGATCCATTCAAGATTTTCTGGAGGATTTACAACATGGAAATGATTTGCCACTACCTTCTTCTGAGGTATTTCTTTCAACTTTCTAATTTAGCCTACAGCCAGAGGAATTCCTAGTTGTGTCCCATCCAAGTACAATATTAAAAACACCTTTTGCCCTCTGAGGACGACATCTGATGGGGGTGGGCTCATGATAACTTGCCAAACTTCTTACTTCCATCTCCATTCCACACCTGCAACATTCACAACTCAAATATCTGTACCAACTCTAGCACAAAAGTGCTTTTAAAAATATTTTAAAAATGTAAAAGAGAAGCAGTTCACTGAAAAAGGATTCCCAGCTTTATCCTTTATTCTCTTTTACATTAAGAATTAGTATGCTGATAATTTTTAAAAGGGAGAATGAAGCCGCAGCTGATGAAAGCCTGTCCTTTTTAATAAAGTCTGCTAGCTGGAAAAGGTGCTAACAGACTCTTGATTTTTTAAAAAGGGGATTGGTCGCCATTGCCTTAAATCTTAATTACCAGAAATATTGCTTGTGTTTTAACACCTTACTGTTGTAAAGCTGCTCTTGTAACATTTATGATGCTACCCTTCCCAACACTAAGCATTCCTCATGAATTAATTTTTCCTCCATGTCAGAATTAAGCTCACCTGGTTACCATGTTGATGAGCAGTGATTGTTCGCAAACAGTTCTGGCATCGGTTTTTGGCAAACATATTGGCTTCAAATTTCTCACAGAGAGCATAATCAGCTGGTTCGGACATAGTCTATGCAAGGAAGGAAAGATGCCTTAGGCAAGTAGTTTTGTGGAGAGATGGAGAGAGCGGGGAGGGAAGAGCAGCTGTGAAAGGATCAGGAGACAAGACACAACAAATACCCCTTGTTTCCTTTAAACTTATCAAAGAGAAAACATTTTGTACATACTGGTATCTACTAGCAATTGTAAGATTGCTCTCCCATCACCTGGAAAATAATCTTCAGATGGGAATATCAAAGCTAGAGAGATGCTTTAAGTTACACGGGAATCAAACACTCACCCACAGAAGTATATCCTGTTTAGGTAGACCTGCTATGTGCATTTTCTCAATTGAGAAAATCACATTAAAGAAGTTTTCTCAATCTGCTGTCTCCAAGATGCAGTACAACTGCAGTTTCTCAAAAACAAAACATTGTTAGTTTGCTGGGACCCTCCAGTAAGGCTTATTCACATATAACTAACCACATATAATTGTGGTTTACAAAGGGAATGCATTTTCACAGTTCTTACCTGGATGCACATAGTTTAGCAAAAGCTTTTCTAATATTAAGAAACTATCATTGGTGTGATTAAAAAAAGGCAGCTGGAAAAGTATTGTCTGCCTAAATACTGGGAGATATTGCTAACTTTCAGCTACATATAAGTATATTACATGCTAAAATACTTGTACTTATTTTGCTGCTTCTGCATTATGTTTTCAGATGCCCAGGTTTACCACATGCATCTCTGTGAAGTGTTTGATAAGCTTGTTCTACTTTCTAACCCTGATTTGGAAACAGGATCTGCTGCAACAGTGTGGGTCAACATGAAGATTAAAACTTTGGAAAAGGAAAATGAGAGCAAATCATAACTCCCTACTTTTAACAAGACAATTATTGCACGATTGCATCAATGTAAGAACCAACTTAATGACAGTGAGTACTGTATTTTTCTATACTTTTAATTATTTATCGTCATGAGGATATAAACGTAAGTCCAATTCCTTTGACTGAACTAATTAAACACAATTGACCTTGCCATTTAATATTTCAAACTTAACATTGATTTTATGTTCTTAATTTCCCATCTCAGTTTCTTCAGTATCTTTTTTAATGTATTCTATTTCATGTGTGATCAATTTATGAACCCTATTGTGCTTTTTACTGCCAGTTTGGTGTAGTGGTTAAGGTGTTTGTCTAGAAACCAGGAGACGTCTTAGACACAAAGTCAGCTGGGTGACTATGGCCCAGTCACTTACCCTCAGCACTTGGAAAGAGGTAATGGCAAACCATTCCTGAAAAACCTTGCCAGGAAAACTGCATTGACTTATCTAGGCAGTCTCAGAGAATCAGACATGATTTAATAGGAAAACAAAAACCTTATCAAGATGTAACATCTCCCTAGATAAGAATGGTGGTAACTCATGCTACCATGCAGTTATATCAACCAATTCTTGGGATAACTTTAAAAAAATACTCCACAGTGTAAGTTTTACACAAGCATCTTGTATTGTTTTGCTTCCTATCACACAAAATGTAACTCCTGCTCATTCATTAGAATCCCAACTTAAGGATTTAGCACAACTTAGAAGTTAACAGTAGTTTTTAGAAAAAAAAAAGATTTTTACAATGCATGCTATACAAAGACTCAAATTTCATAATCCATGTCTGCTGAACATCTTTATTTTTATATGCTTCCTTACGTGATTTTTCATCCTTTTTCTGCCACTGTTTTAAATTATCATGTAATACATTCAGAAACACATCAAAATCAAGCACAGTCACTTGAAACCATTCTGGAACTTAGTAATAGAGGAAAAAATTTTATTGTGCCCACGATAAATTCACGGCCTCTAAAGAATTCACTTTCTGCCTGCAACTGAAGAAAATAAAATATATTTTCCAATTATCAACAATTGGAAAATGTAGCAGTATCAATATCACTAAGACTTATATACCGCTTCGCAGTGCTTTACAGCCCTCTCTACGAGGTTTTACAGAGTCAGCATATTGCCCTCAACAATTTGGGTCCTCATTCTCCCCACTTCGGAAGGATGGAAAGCTGAGTCAACCTTCTATGTAAAGAAAAAAATGTAAATTCTTTTCTACTGAAAATTTAAATAAAATAGCACCATCTTATTAAGAATTGGATAGTTTTTAATACTAATATATAACTAGTTTGTGACTAGAAAATAGCAAGCTCATACATTATCATTACAGCGTATAGGAGAAAAAAAAGAACGCACCTTGAGAATGCAACTCCTACTACGCACGCCTACACTTAGCTACAACTGGAACTCTTCCACCACTGACTTTTTTATGAATACAAACTTTCCTCCGAGGAAGTGGATCAGGACTCCACCCACTAGCCTCCTTTCCATTGGCTGAATGGACCACACTCATTTGAATGTACTATCTCAATTGATTGCCTCAGAGGGGTGGGCCGATCAGGAACGAATTACATTTCAGACGATATTGGAAGTTTTTGAGTTGGATCTTTTTCGGCTGCGGGTTTTTTTTGCAATTAAATCGACGCCTCCTCTCCCCCAGTATTTTATTACAACCCGCGTTGCAGAGTCATTGGGCGTGTGGCTGATTTCTCCCCTTCGTGCTTTCTGTCAAGAGTTAGCACGCGTCCTTTCGGGCAAACGACTATTTTTTTTAAATGCTTTCTGTCTTTTTTCACTAGGAGGAGATAAAATGCGAAATAGCGGACATAAACAATGACACACGCTTTGACACCGCGTGGAGTGGATCATCTTGATTTTTGCCGTGTTTATACCCTCTTTGGAATCTCTCCTTTCCATTGCAGTATGTGCCAACTTTCCTGGACCCTGCTCTAGGTCAAGTCTACCACAAGAGTATATTTTTGGCAGGATGTTGTTTGCTGCTGATCCAACACTGTAGCCTTTTAGGTACATAGTAACTTATTGTATGCATGTACACGTTTAGATTTTGTTCCACAAAACGTCCTCTCAAAACAACCTGGTTGGTGTCTAATATAGAAATCATAAATATAAAACAGATATCTCAACTAACTTTAACCTCCCCAATGAAGAACCTCACAAAGCCCCTCGGTACAAACTTCAAATATAATGTATCTCACTGGGTGGTTATGATGAAAAATGATAGGAGGAAGCACTATGGCTGCCCCCCTAAATAGGGATATAAATCAATCCCCAATATGTTGTTATATTGATTGACGAGATTCTATCGCAATTATTGGTGGGTTTTTTTTCATTTCTCATGTACAATTTATCATTACAGCAATGTCTTCTCCCTTTTCTCTTGATCTGTCTCTCCTTTGAAAATCTTTTAACACTCTGTAGTTGGATCTTCATTAATCAGGATTATGTTTCTCTTCTTTCTATACAAGAGCAATTTTGATTAAAACAAAGCTTATGCATTTCTTTCTAGACCACCCAAGCTTACTCTTCTGCATATTAGTTGGAAAAACTAATCTGTTGCACATTTAAGTACTTATACAGTAATTATGGATGGCCCCCAGATGTAGCAAGCCAAATGATAAACCCTGCCATCCTATGCTATAGTAGCAGAGAAAAATTATCTTATCATAAAGCATTACAAGCAATTCCACCATTATCTGCTCATACAACACACAAAGTCAAAATCAGATAAGCCACATTAGAACTTAATCTAAGAACACCAACCATTGTAGCAGCCATCTCCAGTCCTTCCTTCATACATCTTGCCCATACTGGCTGAAAATTCTGAAGCCAGAATCCAAACACATCTGGATGGCATCCGGATAGGGAATGGTCTATACATTCATTTAATGTGGAGGGGGAGAATCTTCAAAGGAGGCAGGGAAGAAATGCAAAAATTCTACTTCAAGGTACATATGCTCTCTGGAAATTAGAATCAAAGGCAACCTCCCTTTCATTGTTGTCCACTGGAAACCGGTGAGAATATTAGTAATAAACCCCATGTCTTAATTACTGAACCTCTGATGGAATACTGATACTGAACTTGGTCTGATCCAGCAGGGCTCTCTAAATTCCCCCTCCCATTTGTCTGGTGTTTTCTTCCTGCAATCCCCATTATAGAAGTGGGGCTGAGCTATCTGGCAGTTGTTTGTAGTTCAGAGCAAAGTTAGCAACCTGGTCTCCAAATGTTTGGACTAATTCCCATTAACCACATTCACTGGAGACAGTGGGCTGCCTATATGTTTTAAAGTGTTGAGGGAATATTTCCAAGATGATGTTCCTGCTAACAATTCATTTCTTATGCTTGTTTCTACTACATTTAATGCTGAAGTATTTTGCATGACCAAAGTCCACTCAATGTGTTAGCAGCTACTCATTTTACGCTATGTATCCAATATAGGTGATGCACATGTGTTCCTGTTGATGAACTGTATTCTGTGCATGGTTAGATTCTATGTTCCAATATGATATTGGAGGGAGACATACACACTGTAAATTCATCAACTCCTGACTGTGATCAGTAAAACCAGCTTGCTGGCATAAAGTGAGATGGGCAGAGTTTGCAGTCGTGATTTTCCAAAAATTTCAAAAATATAGCCATCATACTATTAACTAAATCCACTAATAGGACCTCCCCAAGGCCTCCCCTCCTGATTGCAATGCAAGCTTTGGACAGTGTTGAAGGAGATATTCTTTTAAATATTTGGATCCTTATAATTTTACAAATTAATCTCAACACTTGAAGTACAGTTCAGTAATCACAACCAATGTGACACTTTTCAAGATTAGTGTGATACTATAGCCACCCCTCTCGACAATTAGGCAGATGCAGTCTGCACCAGTTACAGCTTTTGGGTTAACTTCAAGATAGCTTCATGAAGAATTGCAGCAATCCAATCCAAAAGTTCCTTGGGCATGAAGCAGTGACATTACGCTATCCCAGTCCATGTAGGATAGTAGCTGGGCACATTTGTCAAAGTTGGATGTGGGTATGCAAGTATTGTCTTTAAAAGATTGTACCATCTTTTTTTTGTTTTTGTTTGAGGGCTTTCCAGTAGCTGAGAAATCAGAAAACATACTCTCTTCCCTCACCCCTCACCCAAACAGCAAACCACCCAACTGCCATGAGCCTAGTGCTTCTGGCATTTAGCCTTCAAAGACAAGGAGAAAAAAATACTTTATCCAGCAAGACAAGTGCTGCCTTTCAAAGTCTTCACATGACTGAGGTGACGAGACATATATAGCTTGACCTCCAGGTCTCACCTCTCCCCCTTTCCCCTCCTATGTTTTCCCCATCATAATGCATTCTTTCGCTGTTGTTCTGAGCTCTGTAACCAATTACAAATAGATCAGAAATATTTTGGCTTGGTGTGATTATTGCCAGGGCACAAGCAACAGCATCTGCATTGGCTGTCGCCCCAGATTTCCAGGCTGCTGTTAGAACATAATACAGAAAATCCTCTTCCTGCTTCTTAGTTTTTTTGCTGGATGGGCAAAACAGCACATCCAATAATTCTTTTTGATCTGGAGATCTAATTCAGGAATTTTAAATGGCAGATGCCTGACATTTAAATGTACTGTAATTAAATGATGCTCAGACACAGAGCCAACACTTTGAGAGAGGACTTCTTCAGAAAAAAAAAAAGCAGAGTTATGGATCTACCTAAAGAAATATTTGGATCCTGGTCATTTTAAAAAAGTCCCTGACAGCTAATAGATCAAGTATGGGGTTTTAAGTATAGATATGGATTCATTGTCACTGCTTCCATAGATTCATTTCTTGCTAGTGTTGGTAAGTTACTCCTTGGACCTACTGGGAATGGGGGCAGGTTCTATGTTTTGCCGCGAGAGCAAAAACAATTCAAAAAGTTAACAACTACTTTTATCCTCAATGCTTGTTTATGAGTAGTGGTGTAAATGTTGGCATGTGTCACCAGGATTTATGAGAAACCCGTTTCTTCCTCAAGAGATGAAAATTAATATGAATAATGGTAAAATAATGTGCAAGAAGAAAATATTGCTATTATCTGTGCCAGTCTTACCCAACTTCAAACTTGACAGATGTGTTGCACAATATTTGGGTGTTTGTCCCAACAAGTGGAGAACACCTGGTTGTCCATGGCTACTCTTTTATACTTATTTCTTTATCTGAATCCAATACATAAAATGATATTGCATAGGGATAAAAATTAAAATGCAATTACAAATGTGGCCTTCCTCAGTCTTGGAAAACATGATATTAATCAGGGATCCAATCTCTCTCTGGAAAAAAAGGCCTTTGTCCACCCAAATAAGGGGAAGTTGAATGAGAGATCCTGAGTAGAAGACTGTGTTCACGTAACACTGATCTTCCTCCAAGCAAATTAGTAGAGTTTAATAGTCCATGTGTCAGCCATTCAGTCTTGGACATGCCTCTTCCTGCCTGTCATTTTCCGGCGCTGAGACTTGCTCGTTCGTCCTGTTCTTGTGTTTTGGCCTCTGTTCTTTATCACTTGTTTGTGGTTGATATGTTTTCTTTTCTTCTTTTTCTGAGTACGGGAATGCAGAGAAGCAGTGAGGGAAGAAATTCTGAGGAAAAGAGAAGAAAATAATGATTGTTTCTTAGTTTTAAAAAATAAAAGCTAGCTTTTAATTCTCAGGTTTATTCACCCTCACCTATGCTCCTTGTAAACATGGCTGCTGTGGTTTTCAAATTACCAGTAGTCCTTGACTTACAACCACAATTGGAACTGGAATATTTGTGGTTAAATTGTTGAGGTTGTAAGTCAAATTGGACTTGATTTTCCAATATTTTTTTATGGAGTTGTTAAATAATTACAGTTAAGCAAATCCAGTTTTCCCAATGGGCGTTTTTGGCTGGAAATTGACAAAAAAGGCTGCAAATCATAATTAATAAGGCACAGGATTATGCAACTGGTCATAAATATGAAGCAATTACCAAGCTCCTGAATTATGATTATGCAACCCTAGAGATTATGCAACCCTAGAGATGTGCAAGTATAGGTTATAACTTTTTCCGAAGCCATTATGTCTTTGAACACATAAAATGAAAATTTCATTGGTCAAAGGTATTATACTGGTTTATTCAACTGTATTATAGTGGTTTATTTAAGAAATCATGATTATAAACACAGCTCAGTGCTATGTATGTCCATCCAGTTTTAGGATGTTTGAATATTTAAATACAATTCTGAGCTCTGAAGAGAAACAATAAACAGATAAGAAAAAAATAGTTTCCTTGGACTAATTCTGACTTGAATGTTCCTGTTATTTACAGAATTGTCAGTCCTCTTCTCCTTTATTTTATTTTTACATGCGTTAGAAAAACTGTACACCTGAAATTCTCTGGATAGATTATAAAAATTAAACAAAACAATACAAATTGCAGCACTATTAAGAGATAACAAATCAATCCATATTGAGTAAATAAACTCTGCAGCAATAAATTTGGAACTAGAGGGAGAACAGGAACTGTAAAAACAAAAACAAAATTTCCAATATATTTAAAAGGACTAAAAAACTAACTCATTTGTCTGGTGGGAGAAATATATTTACATAGACAAAGGGGTAGGTATAGGAATATTGGTATACTTTCTAAAGAAAGTCTATCATAAGAAAGAACCAGCAGTGAGAAGACTCTTCAGTCACATTTCTTCCTAACTCAGACAGTTTTGTTTTTTTAGTGTATGGCATGTTAGCCAGGGATCACTGAGGTGGCTGGCTGCCTCTGTGAAAGGAATTTTTTCAGGCAGTGTTATCTTGACTCGCGGGACGCCTGAATGCTGGTAGCCATTGGGGGAAGCTCCTTTCTTGTCCCTACACCGTTTATTCTCTCAGACAGTAATATCTTTATATAAAGTGTTATATATAAATAATACTTTCACGTAATCCTCTATGCCTACTTCCACCTGACCGTATCATACTTACCTCTACTTTTTCTATTTAACATAACTTGACAGCGCATCCTGTACGTATCTACTCAGAACAAAAGCCCTTTAAATTCAACAGAGTTTACTCTCCACTCAGTGTTAGAATAATCTCTAAGCAAATCTTCAGAGAACAGATGGGACATTCTGAATGATTTGGTAACTGAAAGTAAGTCACACAATTGTAATACCTCTCAGACAGAAGAGGATCTCTAGCTTTCTTAGGCAATGTACATGTATTCAAGGCGTCTTCTCCTTCCAGGTCAGTATTTTCTTTCTAAAAAAGAAGGCACGTGAGCTAATAAAGAACACCACAATAAAATCTAGACATGCAACTAGAAACATGATTTAATTTTCTAAGCAAAATATTAAGATTTCAGATTAAATGCAAACACTTTAGATGAAAGAATAATAGCAATCAACACAAACATGTAAAGCCAAAACTTGGCATCAATCATTTAGCACAGTGGTGAACTGTAATCCATAAATTATGGTTCGGAATTTGGCTTCTGGCTTGATTCAGGCAAGCTTTTCCCTTCCATAAACTTTGGGAATAACAGCTCAAAAGACACTATATTCAAACATAACACTAGAATCTTGCATATTTGGATGCACAAATATATGTGAGAAATTTGTAGTATAGCAATAGACTTATCTACCACTTCACAGTTCTTTATAGCCCTCTCTAAGTGGTTTACACAGTCAGCATACTGCGCCAACAATCTGGATCCTCATTTTACCGACCTTAGAAGGATGGAAAGTTGAGTCAACCTTGAACAAGTGGGAATTGAATTGTTGGCAGTTAGCAGAATTAGCCTGAAAAACTGCATTCTACCCATTGCTCTTGCACAGTGATTAAAGTATCAAACCATGGCTGTGGAGTTAACAGATTAATACCCACTCAGCCATATTCCACACTGTAGGATGTTGAGCAGTCCGGGGCTCTTCTTCCACATTTTATTTTTGTGCTTCCCAGTCAATATTGATTCCTAATGACGATCTGGACTAGAAACTTAAAATCAAGTTATTTCCCAAACACGTCTCTGGGGGAGGTTATCCATTGGCATGGGATTAAGTATCATTAGTCAGTATGCTAATGGTATGTGGGTTTCCATCTTTATCCTGGGCTGACCAAACAATACCTTCAGATTCTCTGTGTCAGGGAGCCTTGGGGATTTAGATGGGGAGGTAAAAGCTTTGGCTTAACCCAAACAAACCTGAGTAGCTGTGGGCTTGTTCACTCTCCCTCCCTCCTGAATTTCTGTACGACTTTAAAAATCTGACACACATGCACACACACACACACACAAAGTAAGATGTTGGATGAGCCCGTTTGAAAAAAAAGGTTTCGGATATTGAGATATTATGTTTTTGTGCCACTTTATATGGCATGGTACGGTCCTACAATTGTTGTTCACTAGTCTGCCTTTTACACCTAGGATAGTCAACTAGAGTTGAATTTGTGAGTTGGGCAGCCATATAAAAATTACATATAAATATTTTTGTTAAATTAACAAGTGAACAAACAAGTGAATAAAAGACAGATATATTACCTCAGTTAGCCCTAGCACACGAGCACCAGAAAGATCCAGATCACTGATGGTAGTAACGGTAACCGTATGGTTTGGGTGATCATAGCTCACCGATTCTGTTTGAGATGTCACTAGATGTTCCAACTCATCAGCTTCCTCTGAGAAGATGACATAAGTACAGTGATAATTTTTTGTGTAAAGGCAGTTTCTTCAATCACTCTGTTGAAGAATGGCATCTATATTCTAAATGAAAACTTTATGGGAGGAATTCTTTAAGCTTAGACCTTTCAGTCCTGCTACCATTACATTCTATTATTCCTTTATATACTGTATGTGGTTTAATGACAATTGATGCCTCTACCTCCATAACTTTAAACTGGAATATTTTAAGAGATGAAGCAGGTTCTTTTGTTATCTGTATTTGCCACATAATCATCATTATTTACTACATAATTCTGCCAGTGATGGGCAAGCTTCTTCAAGGAAATGAAAGAAGGAAAGAGAAAAAAAGAGAAGAGTAGGAATATAAAAAAAATTCCTTCCAATCTTCATCATTGCAAATGTAAACAAATTTAATGACTCTTCACCCTTTACAAATTTCTTCATCTCATATCCCATTGCTTATCTATAAATAAATCCATAAAACATCATCTTTTCAATCCTGGGATTAGCAGAAAGTCCATATAGTAACCATTCTTCTAAAAACCGAAAGCTTACACAGTGCAGCAAAAAATCAGCACTGAATCTGTCTCCTTCCAACTATCTGTGATTAACAACAGTGACCTAAACATAATCATACTGAGTAATACAGAAAACAACACCTAGTAAAAGTGTGCTAAAGATTATAGATTAGAAAAACTAATTCATTAACAGATTAAATGAAGATATAGTTTGAATCATGATTCATATTCATTTAACCTTAAAGAAATTGTATTGATCAGCCTTCTGTTCTCTAAGTTGTCATCTTATACATTTTGAGATTCCTAGGCTAGGTTACATCTTCAAATAGGACACTTACCTAAGGCTTCTTCTCTCTCCTTCAGCATCTTCATGTATTCTTTATGTCTCTACAAGAGAAGCAAACAACTAGATATTCCAAGAATTTTCAGATCATCTCCTTAAATTGCCTCATTCAAGTTGCTAGTTAAATCCTGCCAATGAAAAGTAATGCACTATTTCTTACTATTATGGTAGTATAGTACTGTATTTGGTAGAATTTTGGTACTGTGTGGTATTTCTATATTAACTTACCAAACTCAACTTACTCTATAATATTACACTATCAAAGCCTACAAGATCTGGAATCTCCCTTAAAACAAGCCAGTTTAAACCATGGTGCCATAAGCAAAGCTCTTTCTTTTTCCCTACAAAATCTTTGCCTAAAAATATGAGTCACACTTGGAGGTACTCCATTTTATTTCCAAGCACCTACGTCTTTATTGTTTGTAAGGTCAGCTTAATTTGGTAATACACTGGTATAACATATTTAGAGTGGAGTCAAAATGGCGAGGCTAAGCTTGCTAAAATACATTTTTGGAGTATCAATAATAAAAGGCAAAAATGAAGGCAGCTATCCAAAATGTTTGAAAAAAGTCATTTTTGGAAGGAAACAAGTCTGCCTTACTTTTGCAGCTGTTACAGCCTTCCATTTCCCAAACAGATCTCAGATGAAATCATACCTCTTCTTTCATCTTCTTTTCTTCCTCTTTCAGTTTGCGCTTTATTTCCTCCAAAGCTGCTTTTCTCCTCTCAACCTTGCGTTTGTGAAACCCTGTCAAGAACTCCCTGGAAAGAATAAACACAGTATAATAGGCAACAATAAGTTAAGATTACCCTGCAGAACAGATTGGATAACCATAAAGTATGAAAGTTATGATTTTTTTTAAGCCCAAGGTAGTCCTTAACAATTGCAATTGGGACCAGCAACTCCTTTGCTAGGGGATATGGCTACCCTTCATCACAAACCTACATCATTTTCACTGCCATGCATAAAGTGAAGCACCCAAGGTTAAGCCTGGCATCATATGACTGGCTTCCTGCTGGCTTCTCCGTTGATTCCGCTTGCTGGACGCAAGTGTTTGGTTTTTAAGAAGAGCCTGGACAGCCACTTGTCTGAAATGGTATAGGGCAGGGGTGTCAAACTTGCAGCCTGCAGGCTGGATGCATCACACACTGGCCACCCCCACCCCCATTTTAGCAAAGGGGAAAAAAGTTGCAATACGTCACATGATGACATGACAATGCAAGTTTGTCACCCCTGGTATAGGGTCTTCTGCTTAAGCAGAGGGTTAAACTAGAAGAAGGTCCCTTCCAGCTCTATTTTGATTGATTGAAGCTCACAAATGGTGATCACATGACTATGGGATGCTGCAACAATTGAGTGAGGACCAGTCATAAAACTACTTTTTTCAGCAGTTATATAACCGAGCAATCATTAAATTGGACAGTTGTTAACCAAGAACTATTTATAATTCTGAATATCCAGGTAGCCTTGTGTGATTCTGTTCCCCTAAGTGGGCTAGTTTTCTTGGCAATGTAACTGTTGCCCATTACTTGCCATTTTATTTTAGCTTGTCTACCCAATCGAGACAGAATGATAAGCAGACTTTCTTGCTCCACACATTTCACTTCTCTATTTCCCTCTTAAGCTGAAAAAAAATCCATATCTGTTCCAGCTACTATCTGAAGCATGCCTGGATATCTGTAGCTCAGATATAGTCCTAAGCAAGAAGGATGAAGAGGCAATGGCCAAGGGAATAAAGAAGTAACTGTGAATGTCAACCACAAGAACAAAAATTGGATTTTACTCTTTGAAGAGCTGGTTAACTATTCTGTGGATTGTTTTGAAACCATGACTCCTTCACTTTCTTGATGTTGCCCAGATGAAGAGGAATCCAAACCAACTGGAAGGTATGACATAAGGGAAAATCTACTTTGAAGAGAATTCAGAAATTCTAGCAAATTGCCCCTTTTGTAAATAAATTCATTATGCATACATTCTGTTGCACATGTATACTAACTAACATCTAGTAAGGTAAAGCAGTTTTTTCCAAACTTGGCCACTGGCTAGGAATTCTGGGAGTTGAAGTCCACTCATCTTAAAGTGACCAAGTTTGAAAAACATTATACTATACAACAAAGAATATTCTTTCTGCACCAACTCAAAAAGCTCAAACTGCCCAAGGAGCTGCTGATACAGTTCTACAGAGGAATTATTGAGTCTATCACCTGCACCTCTATAACTGTCTGATTTGGTTCTGCAATCCAACAGGAAAGACACAGACTTCAGAGAGTAATTAGGACTGCAGAAAAAACAATTACTACCAACCTGCCTTCAATCGAGGACCTGTATACTGCATGAGTAAAAAGAGGGCTGTGAAAATATTTAGACCCCTCTCACATCCCGGACATAAACTGTTTCAACTCCTACCCTCAAAACAACGCTATAGAGCACTGCACACCAGAACAACTAGACACAAGAACAGTTTTTTTTCCAAATGCCATCACTCTGCTAAACAAATAATTCCCTCAACACTGTCCAACTATTTACAAAGTCTGCACTACTATTACGACCAATCTTCTCATCACTCCTTATCACCCATCCCCTCCCACTTGTGACTGTATGACTGTAACTTTGTAGCTTATATCCTTATGATCTATATTGACTGTTTCCTAATATTTGACTGCTTATTGTATCCTATGACTATTATTAAGTGTTGTACCTTATGATTCTTGACGAATGTATCTTTTCTTTTATATGTATACTGAGAGCATTTGCACCAAGACAAATTCCTTGTGTGTCTAATCACAGTTGGCCAATCAAGAATTCCCTTCCCTTCCCATTCCCATTCTATGTTAAGCAGGCATCCCCAAACTTGGCAACTTTAAGACTTGTGGATTTCAACTTCCAGAATCTAGGAGTTGAAGTCCACAAGTCTTAAAGTTGCCAAGTTTGGAAACCTCTGAAGTAAAGCAACATGTGTCTGAACCTTGCAGCAAGCATCCCATGCAAAGAGCCTCCCGGTAAATCTCCACGCTGTGGGCTCCTTCCCACGGGAGGGATCTGCACACCGAGGCATACGCCCAGCGAGGGGCCAGCGGTAGATCTACTCGGGCAAGCGTCTTCCTCCTCTCCCGCACTCACCGCCGACTCTTCTCATCGAAAGACACAACTCTCCGGAGCACCGCAGTCCCACCGCGCCGCTCCTTCTTCTTGCGGCCCATGCCGGCGATGACTTCTTCCTATTCCGCCGGCAGAAGCGCACACCAGTGCACCGCCTCTTCCGTCCCGCAGTCGCCTCCTCGATGAGTCTTTGCGGGAAGCTCCGCCTCTGCTCTCGCCTTTCATCGGTCGTTGTTAGGCTAGTTATTTATTACCAAGCTTTTTTTTTTTTAGTCATGCAATCGCTACGCAACTTTTGAGATTGCCCTGCAGTATCCATAGTCGAAATATTTTGGGGGGCCAGGAACCTAAATGCGGCTGCCTCCCGGAGACAAGTCTGTTTCCCCAATTCTTCTGCACGCTTCTGGTTAGCCCAAAACGAGAGATCTGGTCGTATGGATAAGCAAAGGCTGTATTGTCATGGGAAGCTTCAAATATACGCTAAATCATACTGTGAATGTGGTTTAGTTTTGTATGAGCTCAGTGTGGTTTGCAGTCTATGATTTAAGCGTGTGCTTCCATTTCTTTTAGTAAACCATGATGAAGTAAATTGGGTTAGGATGATGTGTGAAAAAAAACCTGTACCTATATCTCGGTCTCTGTCATCTGAAGTAAGTTTCTGTGGAACATGTGGCTAGCTTGCACTTTTAAATGGTTTCCTGGATCTTTCTAGACCTATTCCAGTATATGCATGTGAAACTGCTCTCTGAAGTTCACTCACAGGTACAAGCAGCGGTACTGACCTTGTACTTTTGTTACAAAAAGAGAATAACACAGTGACTGCATAAATAAGCACTAAGTAGGCTCCCTGGGGGAAGGCTGTAGGTAGATTTGGGAATCTAGCAATAGTACTTAGATTTTGTGGCACTCTCTAAGCAGTTTACAGAGTCAGCATATGGCCCCAATAATCGGGGTCCTCATTTCACTGACCTCAGAAGGATGAAAGGTTTACAATAATAGAATATTTAGAATTTTAGAAAATAACGAATATATAAAGATTTATTTCTTTTCTTTTTTGATATTATATTTATAAAATGTTATTAGGATAGATTTGGTATGACTATATGATTTGTTATAAAATAAATTAAGTAAACTATAGTTATCTTGTAAAGTATGAATGAATAAAATCATGGTCAAATGATTGTTTAATAGTGATACTAGGGTATATAATTTCTGATTGACAATATGAGATATTATGTAAGGTAACTGTAATTGAGACCACGAAATGGATGCACAAAAAATTGGTAAACCAACCGATACACTGTTTTGTATATTTATGAAAGAAAGTTGGATGTTTTTATGTTTTGTCTGTTTTGTTTGTTTTTAAAAATCAATAAAATTGTTTTCAAAAAAAAAAGGATGAAAGGTTGAGTCAACCTTGAACCGGTTGAGATCGAAGGAATCAAACTGCAATACTGCATTCTAATCACTGCACCACCACAGATCATTGGTTAGCATTTCACTGCATGTTATACAGTTTACCTGCAAGAGCTTCCAACTGACCATTGTTGAACTGCCTCTGAATACCACCTGGAAGGTACAGCCAGATCAAAATGCAGCAGCAATGGTACCTGTTGGCATTCCTATGTATCACCTCTGCTTTGCAAGCTGCATTGGCTGCCATTGGGTTTCAAGTACAATTCAGTGTTCTGGTTATTACTTATAAAGCCCTGTATGGTATAGAGGCCTGGAGATCTGAGGAAACCACTTACCCCCAATTGTTCCTGCCAATCTAGTTTCTTCTGGCAGACCGGGTGTGCTCCAGGTTTCCTTTGTTAAAGATTGTCATCCTTCAGGATTGAAAAAGCATACCTCCTCTGTCACAACGCATTCACTCTGGAACAGCTTCCCCACAAAGGTAAAGATGGAGCCCTCTTTGTAGAATTTAAGAAAGCCTTGAAAACCTGATTTTGTGTCACTTTTGAATCATTTTAGTCCAAAATGTATGGTTTGTGTATCTCTTCATAGAATTTGTTCTTGGTTTGTATATTGCCCAGTCCATCAGAACTACAATACATTTAAATGAATAGATAAAGCTATAAAAAGGATCCTTTTCTAAATGAAGCTGTCAGACACTATTCATCGTTGTATTGTACAACCTTGGGATGTAATGGAAAGTCAGATTTACCCTCTGAACTACAATTTGTTTCCAGCTAAATCCAATCTCTAATTTGCATATAAAGCAAATTAACTGTGGTTGTTTGGGCTTTTGGAAAAAAAAAGTAAAACCCTAATCCTTGTTACTTGCCCAACTGTGGTAGAAAATTACAGATTCAGTGCCTCAGTCTCTTACTTAAATGATCACAAATAGATGGGCATTGCTTGAAAATGTAAATTTATCTTCATACTGAATACCCTGGAATTACAACCTCGTTCTGATAGCCATCACTGGGTAGACTCAAGTCACTGAATTGGTCATTTTGCCTTTTCTTTCAAGTCTTTAATAAGGCTACTAAGACAGTCTGGACTACAAAAATCCAGACTGTCTTTAGATAACAGCATAATTAGAATTGTGTGTATTTGATTGCTGCCACTTTTACTGCTCATCAGGACTGAGCAGTTTTATGGAGACCTTATTTCATGGAAGCAGTAGGCAAAGTGGAATTGGAGGCTCTTTTAAGGGAGCTGTTTGTCATGTGTAGAAAAATTCAGGACAACTTGAATGTATTTGATTCGTCTTGATGTTCACGCCCCCCCCCCTTTAAAAAATAAATAAATCTCCAAATAAGATTCATGCCAATAGGTGACTGATTACAAGTACTCTGACCTTATCAAAGGGGTGGGGAAGTTACACACAGTATTGTTAATCACAGAGCAGTCTGCAAAGTGCTTAAACTTATGAGCTTGTCCTTCAGCCCCTTCTGAGTTGGAAAATCCGGTTTTGTGGTTAATAGCTGTATTTCCCTTTAAGTTTACACCCACGGGGTTGGTCTCCTGAACTATAGCACTCTGCTGTCACTTAAGCCTACTTAGTACCCTTCAGCCTGAACTTGCTTTGGATTACAAAAGCAGTCTGTCATTCAAGTTGCCATGCGGGGACATTGACTGTTGTTTTCCTGTCACTCTTCCCATGCAAAAGAGAAAAGAAAGGAAAACCTACTTATCTACATAAAGTCTGATCTCCTATGCATGTGGAGGAGAGAAAAAAAGGCCCTGGAGGCTTAAAAAGCAACTGAGAAAAATGGCTGCAGAAGATGGGAAGAATACAAGCCTCCTCCAGGAAGTTTGGAAAAGAAAAGAAAATGCCATGTGTGCAGATTGCGGGCAGCCTGGTAAGTAAAGGGGGAAATGGTGGTGGTAGCAGAAATGAATAGCTAACAAAAATAGCTCTTGGAAAAAAGCAATTGCAGTAATTTGGAAGAAATTCAGATGGAGGAATTATGCCTGGCATTTAGGACAAGGAAGAGATAGTTAATATTGTGTGATTTCTTAAATATGTCATAGAATTCTGTGTATGCTGTATATTATACATTAAATATTTTGTTCTACTAAAGATTAAGAATTCTGTAACTCTGCAGACAATAGTAGCTATCTAAACTGGAATGTGCTTGCTGTTGTCTCTGTGACTTTCCATTCAGTGATGAGAATCTGTGGCAATCTAGACGTTGCTGAACTACAATTCCAAACGGCCATCATGATTGGCCATGCTTCCGATGGGTGGTGGGATTTGAAGTTCAGCATCTGGGAGTAAGTAGGAAGAAAGATTGCTTCTACCACCAAAGAATAAGAGTGAATTCCTTGTAAGATAGAAATGAAGAATTGTAATACTACTGTATGGAGATTGTGGAAGCATGAACTCACTGGATTTATTTAAGTGAAGAATTACCACCCAGGTAGAGACAAATATTTGAAGGTATCCAGTTTTTTGAGGTATTGGAGAAAAAGATTGGTATACTGGGGAGATTTTTTTTTCCAACTACAGGAAATGGATGTAATTAAGAAAACCTTAAGTATTGGGGGTGGGGGTATGTGTGCATCCTGGAGATGGCATGTACATTGGAGGTTTAACAAACCACTTGGGCTGCAGGGCTGGGTAGACTTGGAACTGATGCAGGCCACTGAAGAGCCACACATAATAAAACAATGGAATACTATCTAATAAAATCTTTTGCAGAAGGTATTTTTTTAACCTTCGATATTATAATTAGAAACAGCAGCGTGCAGCTTTTTAATCCTATTTGCATTGTTTATAGCTTCGGTAATCTGGATCAGAAAGGACAGAAATGTAACAGATCAAGCCTTTGTTAGGACGTGGAGTTAAAGCCTTTTCCAATTCTCTGATATCACCATATTTTTGCCAGGCCCTTAACGGGAGTTCCTGCAAAGTGCAAGAGGCTAATCTGGGATTTTGATCTATTTTTAAAGTATTTGCAGAGACTTGCCTCCTTAAAAAAAAGGTTTAGGGGATTTATATTTTTATTTTGGATAGCACAAATCTCACCCTAAAAACTACCCCCAAATAGAACAAAAAGGAAGTTTAAAAAATTCTGCCATACTCATTCCATGACATCACAGTACTGTGCGGCCTATACATCTCCAAGTAGGACTCCGAAAAGGCCCCAAGGAGGGTCCACCAGTTTGCACCTATTAGCTAGAACCAGTTGTTAACATTCTAAGCAGTTGGAGAACTGGTTGTTAGAAGAAATTACTGGCCTAATCCTGTAAGGAAGGCAGGAAGGAAACATTCTGGTGTTGCTTATAGAAACTGCCTCTCCGTTAACCCTTATTACATTCTTGGCAGGACTAGACTTCCTGTCTCAGGAACTTCTCTGGAGTTTTTTTTCCTCCTTTGCTGGTACTTTGCTTGTGTGGAGTGACCATTCAAAGTTACAATGGCACTGAAAAAAGTGACTTATGACCATTTTTCACACATATGATTATTGCAGCATCCTCACAGTCACAAGAGGCCAGACGAGGAGATGTGTGCCTTGGTGTGACTGATGTTGAGTTGGCCATGCCTAGCCAGTCTCATGACCACCAAGCCACGCCCACCAACTAAGCCACACCCACAGAACCGGTTGTTAAATTGAATCCCACCCCTGGGTCCATGTCAGTTCTTGACTGATAAATAATCTTGAGACATTAGCTTGAGGAACGGTGTTGCAACTCACAGTGACGTAGGAATAATAAGTAGCCGTGATAATTAACTGACAGCTACTTGGACCTTAAGGAACTTTAGCTCTTTACAATTTATTGTGATGAATTTCACAACAGTCAGTCCATAATCACTGATGTTGTTTGATTCTGTTCAGATCCTTGCTGGGTCTCCTGTACTTTGGGTACTTTCATCTGCTGTGAGTGCTCAAAAATACACTATCAGATCCCTAACATAAGTGAAGTTAAATCAGTAAAGAAGAACTTCTGGGAAGAAAGCCAGATACAGGTAAGTGCTATCCTGAGAAGTTTCTTGGCCTGCTATTTGTTTTAGTCATGTAACCATATTTTCTCTCAGAGGCATTGAGGGAAGCAGGTGGCAAGAGAGGGAAAATTATTTTTTTCATAAATTGCACCAGCAGGGAAGGAATTATATGCCACGATTTTAGACAAAGAAACTATAAATTCCCAGTTCAGCTTTAACTGCAGCAGCTGAAGTCCTTTTATTTACAAGTCAGATACTTTTCAGATGTGGCTGTATGCTAGAAGAATACTTTTCTTACAAGATCAGGGATATTGCTTTGCTGGCATTCCAGCATGCCTACTTCAGATTTTTGTTTCCTACAGTTAATGGAAAGAGATAGTCACTAATCTGGACAGACTGACAAATCAGGTCTGTTTTCAGAAAATTAACTGCCTAACTTGAAAGACTGCTGAGGGCCACAGGCAATTCTACTGCCTCATACCACTCGTGTCTTTGAGCAATTTATGAAGCAAAAGGGTGTAGTGGTGTAAGAATTCAGAAAAGGGTTCAAGAAAACCCCCTCTCAATCTCAGATGCTGTTAGGCCTTTGATGTAGAACAGGTCAAGAAACAGGTGCAGTAAAGATATTAGGAGTCTGTTTTATTGTAATAAGGTAGCATAACAGTATCTTGAAAGGCTGTCCAGATTTTTCTCTGTCCCACCTTTTCGCAAACAAAATTACGGGGCGGTTACTTTGATTTTTCTTTCTTTCTTTTTTTGTGCCTTGATTCTTGACAACTGCCTGGATGTGTCCCTGCAGTTTTCTTGACAAGGTTTCTTGAAGTGTTTTGCCATTGCCTCCTTCGTAGAACTGAGACAGAGTGTCTATCCCGAAATCACCAAGGCAGGATTAGAATTTGCAGTATCATGGACTCTAGACTGATGCATTAACCACTAGGCTAAACTGTTCTCTTTCAAGACTGTAATCATTTCTGAAAGCTGCCTCTTTAATGACTTGCTTCTTCCTTCCAGAAGGTCAGCTCTGGATTCCTTTACAGGAGCTAATTGGCAGAGAGAAAGTTTTCTACAGAATATGAGGATTGAGGATAGTTGGAGCTTGGATAACTGAGAGGCAGAATGCTCTCAGCTCATCTTCATGCTACTAATGAAGATCATTTCTGTGCAAAGGGAGATGACTGAGAGAATTGCTTTTTCTTGCTTTACAGTTTCTGGCCCAGCACGGGAATGCACTGGCCAAAGCAACGTACGAGGCTCATGTACCTGCTTATTATTACCGTCCATCTTACAATGACTGTCAGTAAGTGCAATAACTCTTGATTAGAGAAGGTACAGGAGATTGGGTGGTAGGCATTCTTGGACTTCTCTTACCAGCTTAATCACTTGTGGTGATGTCTCACAGAGTCCTGAGAGAGCAGTGGATACGAGCCAAGTATGAACGGAAGGAATTCCTGGAGCCAAAGAAAGTTCCTTATTCTAATGGTAACAATTCTATGGTAGAATTTCTACAGTACTTTTATTTATCATTTATTTATGCAAAGGTATATGCCTTTTGTCTTAAGCAAATTAAAACTTGGGAAATATTTTTTTCCAACAGCATGTTGGAAGCCCTGAGACAAAGCCCAGTGGGAACTGCTTAAAAATAATTGGACCCAGACATTTAATTTGATACCAATAAAAATCTATCTCTGAATATACACCTCTGCTTAAATGGAAATTAAGGCTGAGTTGTCAATGTTGCTTTTATACAAGACTCCTGAAATATATTAGTGTTGTTCATATATGCTAAAGTATTATGTTTTTTATGTTGGTTGGTTGGACAAGCCATAATGCTCTGGATCGCAATCAAGACAAGAGGTAATAGATGCTATCAGGTTCACATAAAATGCTATGCCCAAAGCAAGCAAGCAAATAAATTACGACTTCAATTTATGTGTGAAATGCACCATTCGGACTAATTTTCAAAACTGACTGTAGGAGCTATCAGAGAAGACAGGATGCTGCTATGGAGCTTACAATATAGTCTGGGTAGCAAGTATCAGCAGGATGAGAGATTGTAATTCAAGAGAAAGACTAGAGTTTGGTGGCAAAATATGTGGTTTGAGAAATTGCCAGTTTCCATTCCTGGCATATTCTTGTAGCCTGGCGAAATTGAAACTTTGGAAATGGCTGCCCATCTATGCCTAAAATACTAGGCCAAATGGTTTAGTGCTATGACTGATTGCCGCTGTACTTATAATATCATAGTTTTGTTGCTGTTTGCAAGCAAAAAACACAGAAAGCATGTAGTAGCTGGTTTGGTTTAGTGCCACTGTAAAAGCTCCTTTGTTTTCAAAAAAAGAGTTTCACACACCTGAAGAAGGGAGAAGACAATTGCAGAGTCTCAGAGATGGCGGTACAGGTGTAGTTAAAGCTGATCCACATCGCTTTCTGGAGGAATTAATATCAGCTCAGACATCAGTTAATCAGGGTTTGAATAACATATTAAACCATATCCACAACAAACATCATAATTAAGTTTCTCATTTAACCAAAATGGCCCAGAAGGCCAAGTTACCTTCCATGGCAGAAGGCAGCTGCTTATGTTTCCAATGCTTAAGCAAATAGCAGGCATACAGTTCACTTTTCAGAAACCTTCCTTTTAACAGGCCCACCGATAGTTCATAAAGTGGTATTGTTGGCGTTACTGGTAATACTTCACTCTTGTCCAACATAGGAAGTGTGGCAGCCTGCAAAAGTGCAACAGGAAGAATTCTAGCTCAATATTTGTGGTCTATGCATGTTAGAAGATGTGAAATTACACATCAGAGGATTTGAAGACTTTCTCATGGGGAGACAGGCAGAGCAAATTTAGAAATAAAAAATTAAACATTTTTTCCCACATTCGTTACTGTAGAGCATCCCCAGTTGAATTACTAGTACTGAATAAGGTAATAAAAGCCCTGCTTGTACAGGCTCTTAACTAACAACAACTTGTACAGGCTCCTAAATAACTACAATTAAGGAATAATAAGGAAAAGGGACCTCTTGCAAAATTGTGTAGAGTTTAGAGTAGAGAGATCAAGGAATTGGCCTTGTTGAAGTTGAATCAGTTTTGTTCCTGATTCAAAAGACGAAGTAGCACGATGAGAAAGAGTTATAGGTACACAACAATTTAGAATTACCATATCTGGACTACAAAAAATTAAATGGCCAGAATGAGATACTGGTTGCTTGAATTTTAGTAGCTGAAATATGTTAGGCCTAGTTACAGCTTCTATGAACCTGGGCACTGTGGCCTGTAATTGGAAGTTACAGGATTATAACACAAAACATCTGGAAGTACCAAGTATCATCGTTCCAAATAATGAACTCCAGGCAGACAAGACTCTGACAGTTCGTTCAGTTTCAAGAAGCTTTTTATTGAATACATCGTATCGGCATTCAGAAAGGTGAAGCTAGCTCTAAAGGGTTCCCACGCTTAGTAAGTAAAGGTAAAGGTTCCCCTCGCACATACGTGCTAGTTGTTTCCGGCTCTAGGGGGTGGTGCTCATCTCCTTTACAAAGCCAAAGAGCCAGCGCTGTCTGAAAACGTCTCCGTGGTCATGTGGCCGGCATGACTAAATGCCAAAGGCGCCCTGAAAGCTGTAACCTTCCCACCAAAGTGGTCTCGATTTTTCTACTTGCATTTTTATATGCTTTCAAACTGCTAGGTTGGCAGAAGCTGGGACAAGTAATGGGAGCTCACTCTGTTATGTGGTGCTAGGTAATGGGAGCTCACTCTGTTATGTGGTGATTTGAACTGCCAAACTGCTGACCTTTCTGATCGACAAGCTCAGCGTCATAGCCACTGAGCCACCCATACTTAGGGATAGTTAATAGAATAGAAATGTCCCACTCCCCTGTGTCCTTTAGGTCTTGTGGGCCAATCAATTCAGGCACAAGTTCCCACTCGGTTCTGGCAGGTGTCTATTGACATGGCCTTGGTTCACCCGCCAGCTGTTAGATGTTTTCACTAGTAGCTGAGACATCACATTCCTAAGTTCCCCCATCCCTTCCCCCATGAATGGCAACCAAGAAACGAAGCAGGAATAAGCATGAGAAAGAATGGCTTCAGCTGAAGCCATTTTGCAGGTTGACACCAAACGGGAAAGATTAGGCCAACTGGGTGATTCTGACTTGATATCACCCTTCTGCCAATGTATATACAGGCAATAATATTTGCAGTAATGAATTTAGCCTTAATGTGGTTTTTTTAAAAATGTGGTTAAGCATATTGTCAGAAGCTAGTTGCAGTTTATAACCTAGGCTTTAGGCTTTAATCTGATATTGATAATTTGATAAATGGGCAGTTCTCACGTAATGGCCAGTTGCTTAGCAGCTGTTTGACATTGCAGTGGACCCCAGAAAAGGTATTTACAACCTGGATTTGAAGTTCAATGTTTGGAATTGCAAATGTTTGCTCCTCAGTCATGTGATCACATTTTGGGCTCAGCAACCAGCCTGCATTTATGGCTGTTTGCAGGGTCCCACGGTCACATGACTGTAATATACAACTTCTTTTTTTGCAGGAAACCAGTTTTTAATTCTGGTTGCTAGCAAGAAGTGTTCTTTGGGTATAATGGGCTTGCTTCACAACCACTGTTTTGCTTAACAAGTACTCAAAAAAAAGTTGTAAAATTGGATTGATCAGGTGAAGACTCACTTAATGATGGGGAGAATTTAGAATGTAATTCTGAGCTTAATTATAGCCATAAGTCAAGGACTACCTGTGTGACCTAGCCATTGTGACTTCATATATCAAAATTAAAAAAGATTTAACACAACCAACACTGCAGCTTGCATTTCTTCTCCTAGGCCTGAAGGAAGGGATCCTGTGGAAACGAGGCCGAGATAATGAGCTATATCAGCCACGCAGATTTCTTCTGTCTGAGAAAGAGAGATGTCTGAAATATTTTGTCAAACAGGATGTGTGTAACAACCAGCTTTTAAGTGACTCTTCTATGCTGAGTAGAGCCTTATTTAGGGTCACAGAATCATTTGATGTCTCTTCAGTTCCTTTTCTTTCGTATTTTTCAACTCAGCTTCCTGCAAGAACTAACTTTTTAAAATTCATTGGGGACAAAAAGATATTTCCTTTTTTTAAATGGGTGAGGGCAGAGATAGAACTTTGTAACACTCTATGTCTATCCATTAATAGCAAATGGATAGCAAAACAAATAATAGCAAAACCACTTTCTTCTCAGGCAAAAGAACCCAAAATAGAAGTTAAAATCGACACTGTCAATGCCATGTTCCAGACAGAAAAAATGAGGCATTCCAATGGTTTGCAGATCACTTATCTTAAACATAACAAGACTCGCAACATCTTTGTTTATCACGAAGATGGGAAGGTATGAGGATCTGTTGTATATGTTTATTGCACAGCTATAGGAAATGATGGAAACAGTCTGAGATGTTGCTGCAATCTTAAAACGGTACATTTAAGACTAGAGCAGGGCCAGATCATTCCTGCTTCTTGTGTCTTTTTCCTGTCTTCAACTCTTCCCTAGAAAAGAAGTCCTTGAAATGCAAGAACTCTCCATTCATCATGACCTATTTATTGCCAGTAAATATATGCATAGTTGGATGCCTAATAAAGAAATTCTCTTTAGATGAATCTTCAGCAAGCTTCTCCAGAGCATGTTTAAAAATTTTGCAGAGTTTTATACCTAGCACATCTAAAGATCGTTTTTTCTTTTTCTCTTTTAATTCTTTCAAAGCTTTTTCTTTGTGCCAATAATTAATTTAAGAAAAAGGAAATATAGTTAGATGCAGACATATTACAACAAATTTGTATTCTAGTGTATTCTATGAATTCCTTCTGGAAGTTTCTATGGAGATTCTCAGTCATCCAGGTCATGGTTGTCCCAAAGATGCTTTTTTCAAGAGGCAACTGGACTTTCTGGTTTTTCTTTCAAGACATTTTATTTCTCATGCAAGAAGCTTCTTCAGCTCTAACTGGATGGTCCCACCATCCAGACAGAGCTGAAGAAGCTTCTTGGATGAGAAGCAAAATATCTTCAAAGAAAAACCAGAAAGTCCAGTTGCCTCTTGAAAAAAGCACCTTTGGACCCTCTGGAAGTTCTTTATACCAGTCAAATAAATTCCATAAGTAAACTGAGAATTGTTTCTAAGTAATCACCTTAAGACCAAGTTGCCAATCCTATTTTAATTTTTAATGTGCTTTTTCTCTTCCTAGGAAATTGTGGACTGGTTCAATACAATCCGTGCTGTAAAATTCCACCACCTTAAAGTTGCCTTTCCCGGAGCTAGTGATCAGGAGGTAAGAATCTTGCTAAACTGGACAGCTTATTAACAAAACGATATTACAGATGATGTAATTTCCTTGTGACATAACCAGTCTAATTATTTTCAGATTTTGGGCTATCTCCGTGAAATGGGATAATCATATGTCTCTGGACTCATGCATGTTTTCTTCTCTGCCCAGCATGAATAGCTGGATAAAAAAACAATTCATCCTAATCTTTAATTGTTGAAAGTAGCTAAGGCATTTTCACAGGTAATCCTCTTCTTCTTTTTTTTTTTTTTGCTGCAGCTGAAAACCCGATTGACAAGAAATTTCCTAAGAGAAGGTTATATGGAAAAAACTGGACCCAAGGTACAACTACTTATTGCTACTTATTACTTTGTTGTTTTTTGTTACCATTTACCAAAAAAAAAAAAAACCCAATAGAAGAGAATATCAGTAGCTCGGGATTAAAATGTGAAGTCTTGATGTGTCTGATCTTGGTTATTTGCTTGCAGACATTTCATTACTCAACTAGATAACATCATCTGTGCTAGTGAGTATAAGATCTGCTCCCTGCTTATTTATAGTAGCTTGCCCTGCCAATGTTGGGGTGTGTGTAATTTTGCCCTTGGTAGTTCCTTGATTGAGGTATTGTTTCCTGCTTTCTTGTCTAGTGTTAATCCCTGCTTATCTGAGTATCGGTTACTGGAGAGGATGTGTTTTGGTCTTTTTGTTTCCTTCTTTTCATTTTGTTTCTTTTGAATGGTGTGTAAATCAGCAGTGGATCCTACCTGTTTCACTACGGGTTCGGTGATTGCTCGTGTGTGCAGGCACACCTAACATACGCGCATGCAGCTTTCCTCACACCAGCTAAGGCCTGTAGCGCCAATCAGCTGAGAGGATAAAGAAGAGAAAAATGCAGGGACCGGTGGGAGGGCCCATCCTGCGCTTTTCTCTACTTTCTCCTCTCAGCTGATTGGATTTTTTTCCTCCTCTCAGCTGATCATCGAGGATTTTTTTTTTTTTTACTACCTGTTCAGCCCAACTGGTCCGAACTGGTAGCGTACCATCACTGGTGTAAATGTGGTTTATTTCTATGTGTCTATTACTGACTGAAAGTCTTTGATATATGAAAAGAAAAGGAGCATGAAAGACAAGAGTGTTCAATGATGTGGAATTCCAGATTTTCATAAAATTGACTATTTTTTTTACTAAAGAAAGTACAATGTTTTTGAGGTGAAAAGCCTCACGTTATCTTTGAGCAGGATGATGATGGTGGTGATTACCATTACATACCATCAAGTTGTTGTCAACTCTTAATAACTATATAAGTAGATTTTCCCCAACATGATCTGACCCTAACCTGGACCTTCAGCTCTTCCAATAGTGCATTTATTGCTACTGTAACTGAGTCTACCTATTTGGCTACTGGTCATCCTCTTCTTTTTCATTCCACTTATCTCAGCTTTTGAGCCTTCTGCAGAGCATGACATCTTTGCATAGGTGTCCAGATAGGGTAATTTGAGCCTCAACTTTTCTTCCACGATTGAGAACTCTTGAGCTGATTTGTTCAATAAATCATTTGTTTGTTTACTGGTCAGCCAAGAAGTATTGAAAATATTCTCCAGGGTCTTCTCCAACAGCAAATATCAAAAGTATTATAAGACCCAGACTCCAAAAAATGGCTGTTCCAGGACTAAAAATTAATTTCATTTTTTGACTAAATTCAACTTCCTGTGTTGACATTATACACACTAAGCCATGCGCCATGGTTATTTTAAGTCACAAAGTCCATTCTGGTTTAGTATTATATGTGAAACCTTTATTGCAATGTTCTTGGAAAGATTAACTGGGAAATGTAACAAACAGCACCGAAGGAAACAAGTAAACCCAAGATAGCCACTCTAGAAATTGACTCTAGCATAGGTTAGGAATTGAAGTTGTTTTTAATGCTGCTTCCAAAGAATTGACCAGGTGAGGGCTCCCTCTTCTTATAAATGTCTGTGGTTGGTTTTCACAGCAAAAGGAATGTTTCAAGAAGCGCTGGTTCAGTCTAGATCACCGAAGGCTGATGTACTTCAAAGATCCTTTGGTAAGCCAGTAATTGATTTTGCCTTTCCTCTCATCTTCCTGATTTACTGAGGTATTTAAATATATGCTAGTCCAGCTGAAACATGGCCATTTTGTTGCTTGAAATAAAAATAGGGTTATTAGTTTTTGAACTCAATCCTATAGCTACCTAAAAACACCTATATTAAATTTCCTATTTTTTCCACTTGATTTTTTGCATATCAAACCTCTATTAAAAGCAGACCAGAGTGTTTCTCCTTTTATTGGTTGTGTACTCTAAGTTAGAGAGAAGAATTATCTCCTCAATTTGCAAAGTTGGAACAGCCTTTCCTAATTCAGTGCCTTCGAGATGTGTTTGAATTGCATGTCCCTGAATTTCCTACCAGGATATTGAAGTTTATTCATCTTTGATTTTCATATGTTCCATATATATAATCCATTATTAGCCCCAAAGATTGAGGAGAGCTTGTCAAGAACCCAACTTTGACATTTTCCATTCCTAACTTCTTGTACAATCAAGAAGATTTTGATTGCTGGGATCTTGAGGGCTCTAATAGCTCAGAAATTTGAAAGGTTCTTCCCACCCAAGGCTAAGAAATTACCATCTTTAATCCCTCAGTGTAACACGTAATCGTCAAAGTGAGTCTATAATAGAAAAAGAAAAGAAAAATATAAACAACATATATGTATATTTAAAACAAAAAATAGACCATGTCAAATTTTTTAACTTTCAATTTCCAAACACTAGGGCTGCTCAAAAGTTTTGACATGCCTTGGGGATTGTAAAGATATTTTGGTTACTTCAATATAATTTAGTTTGGTAAATAATTTCATAAACATCATAACTTTTTAACATTTGATTTGTTTCATTTTGGGCATTTAAGAACAAAAATAAAAAAAACCACGAAATAAAATATACATGTTACTGTTACAGTGAGATGTAAAAGTGACTCTGTTTTGAAATAACAATTTAAACTTTGCACCAAAGGAATCATATTGGTCAATCTTTTCATTAGCTCACCAGAGAGTCATTTCAAAGACTAAAAGTGAACAAATTTCTTCAGTCCAGGATTTCAGATCCAAAGTGATAGTTCTTTTCAGCTGCATCCAAAGCTCTTTTTTAAAAATCAATGCATTATTTTATTGCCTTTCAAATAATGACAAAAAAACATAAAAATACATACATTGTCAAAGAAAAAATACACATTGTAAAATAAAGTAGGTTTGAAAAAAGATGATAGTTATATGAACCTATTAGAAATATATATGTACTTGAGTGATTGCATTAGATAGCTTTATATAAAATTGTAACTGTTCACTGCTAAAACGATGTATTATGGCCTAGCTACACCCCAAGCTTGAGAATTCAAAATTGTTTTTAAAAAATAGATTCTAATTTTTGGTGTATAGTTTAGCTTTGCATTAATATGTGTAAACCTTATTTATCTTCCCCAAATAATATTAACAATAATATAATGGCCTTAACACGGAAGCAATTCATCAAAGGTTTCTTGTTTGTGTTTAATTGACTTCTCCACGAATGTTTAAGAAGGGCTGTTAGTCAATCTTTTTAAAGTACAAAAATGTATGAAGAAATGGTTCTGCTGTTGTTTCAGTTCTTCCAGCTGCTACTTCTCTTCCTAAAGTTAGAATGTTGTAGCTAAAGTATCGGCACATTTCTCCCTTCTCACTGATGTCCCAGGAGAACAACCAGAGCACTTTTGGCAGCATTCTGTTATAAGTTATAACTATAGTCTAGAATCCCAAAGTTACTTTTGAGGCAGATGTTTTTTTTTCTTATCCCATGCAGGATGCTTTTGCTAAAGGTGAGGTTTTCCTGGGCAATGGGGAACAAGGATATAATGTCATAAAAGGACTGCCACATGCCATGCAGGGTAGGTTCACCTGGAAACATGGCATAATTATTGTAACTCCTGACCGCAAGTACATCTTCACCTGTGAGACAGAGAAAGAGCAGGAGGAATGGAAATCTGTCTTCAGCCATGTGATGGAGCAGCCCATGACGCCCCAGGAGTACGCAAGTAAGTTTCAAGAGGATATTTTCATTCTATTCAGCCATGAGAAATTGAAGACAGGGGATCGCCCTAAGGTGGTTGCTGATTTTTCTCTTGGTGTCCTTCCCCTTTTAATTTGGTAAATTAAAAAAAATGAATTAAGAAGTAAGGCGTGGCAAGTTACATTAAAAACTGTGTATCTTTGTCAGTGTGTGTCTCCACTTGCCTTTAAGTTAAAAGGTTGGCTTCTGTTGACTGCCTTGAGAAATCCATGCAGTTTTTTTGGCAAGATTTTGGAAATGGTTCTCCATTGCCTTCTTCCTAGGACTGAGAGGGTCTGGCCCAAGGTCACCCAGGTAGCCTTTTGCTTAAGACAGAACTCAGAATCTCTCAGTTTCTAGCGTAATACCCTATCTATTACACCAAACTGTCTCTGTGGTAAAGTGGCAACCTCTAATAATATTTTAAGGCTCAAGTGGACCCTGTAAGCTTAATGGGAGACTACAGCTCAGTGGCTTGTTTGTGACTATGCCAATGTACCCAGAAAAAGGACCAAGGTAAGCAATGGCAGTCAGGAGAAGATGGCAGGTAGCATTTTCTCAAACGAATGTTTTATAACTGGTTCTGTCCCCTATGGAAGCTATTTTGTGACTATTGCAAGATTCCCTTTTACATGCTCTGAACACTCTAAATATACCTACCAATCAAGTGTTTCTCAACCTCAGCAACTTTAAGATGTATGGACTTCAGGTCCCAGAATTTCCTAGCTGGTGTGTTGTTTGCGGAATTTTGTGAGTTGAAGTTCATGCATCTTAATAGTTGCTGAGATTGAGAAACTCTGAACTGACCCATAAGAAGAGCTCCATTTTTGCTGACAGAAGGTTGCAGGAGGCCGTCACAACTGAAAACAGAGCTTGGGAGCCTGTTTTCACTGGCATAGCGTGCAGGCCACCACAGGTGCCCCCGACAAGAATGATGTCAAGCTGGCCACACCCACCCTGGCCATGCCCACTCTGGCCCCCCGAGGTCAAACACAACCCTGATGAGGCCCTCAAAGAAATTGAGTTTGACACTCCTGGCTTAAATTATTATGCTTTCACTAGTCACAAGGCAAGAGGGTCCCTAAGGTAAAGGTAAAGGTTTCCCTTGTCCAGTTTTGTCCAACTTTACATGGTGGTGTTCCTCTTCATTTCTTAGTCATGGGAGCTAGCATCGTCTGAAGAAACTTCTCTGGTCATGTGGCCAGCATGACTGTACAACGAGGCGCATGGAAGGCTGTTGGGTAATAAAATGCAGCTATTATCTCTTGCTGCCACTAGGCACTGCCCACAACCCTTTGTCTCTTCAACCAACAGGGCTAGAAAAGTAATTCTAAAATAAATTATGTCATATGCTCAGCAATAAAATAACTGTATAGAGTTGCAGAATTATCACCCCACCCCTTTGCCTATGGCTATTCATATTTGCAGGGGACGTGGTGGCTCTGTGGCTAAGATGCTGAGCTTGTCAATCAGAAAGGTCAGCAGTTCAGTGGTTCAAATCCCTAGCACCGCGTAACAGAGTGAGCTCCCATTACTTGCCCCAGCTTTTGCCAACCTAGCAGTTCGAAAGCATGTAAAAATGCAAGAAGAAAAATAGGGACCACTTTGGTGGGAATGTAACAGCATTCCGTGTGCCTTCAGAGTTTAGTCATGCCGACCATATAATCACTGAGACATTTTCAGACAGCGCTGGCTCTTTGGCTTTGTAGCTGAGATGAGCGCCAGCCCCTAGAGCTGGAAACAACTAGCACGTATGTTCGAGGGAAACCTTTACCTTTACTATTCATGTTTGCCATAGTAGATTTATAATATAATATATTTTCTTTCTTTCTTTTTTTTTATAGTTGAAGCTAATTTCAGGATCAAACATTAACATCTCTGGGGAACAGTGAGTTGCTGCTAGTTTCTTGGTCTACAGTTTTTGGATAACAAAGAAGAAAAGACATTCTGGAGTCACAACAGCCTATGCATTCTCTCAGAGCTGGAAGAAGTGTTGAAAGAAACAAAATCCATCTAGACAGCCCTCTGCCAAAATACTGCTGGACACCTGTCTCTCAAAATCGCTTATCATTTTGATCCTAAACGACACTTGGTATGGAAATAAGCAGCACAAAGACTGATGTAAAGCAGCTGATGGATGCTACTGCCGTGCCCTACAATAAATTGAATGGTTTGTTTTTTATTGACCAAAATGTTCATATTCCCATTTTGTGCAACCACTGCTTGCTGCAGATTGGCCACTATTTGCTCTACTTGCTTGGTATTATGATAGAAGCAAAGCATATTCTGAAACAAGAGGAAGGATCATTCGCCTGGAAAGTAAACTTTGCACACTTCAAAAATGGCTTGGAATTATCTCAGTTTGTCTTTTTTAGGCTTCCATGCAACCCTTGAAATATGTCTGTTTTAATTGTTCGGTTGTGATTTTTAAAGCAGCGGAATCTTTTTTTTCCTCATACACACACACAAAAATAGCAGGAAGCTTTACTAAACAGTAAAGAAGTGAGGTAGGTGCAAGATTCATAGCACATTTATTTCAAAACATTTTCAAAGTTCCTGGAAGCTATGTCAAAATAAGAGATTGGAGGAATTGGATATGTTTAGCCTTGAAAATGAGGGTGGTGGGTGGGAAACATGATAAATGTAAATTTCTGAAATTGGTGAAAAGATCCTGTCTAAATTAAAGTAGAGGAAGAATCATAGAAATATGAGGCTTGCTTTAATATGAGTTCTTGCATTGATTGGGAGGTGGCTTTGATTGTTTAAAAGCTGCTTTAAAATTTATGATTCTCCGAACCTCATTACATCTGTCACAGACCACTGAGCATCCTGATTAGATCAAGACAGATATCGGGTATAATTTGATTAAAAAGACCTGTATTTTATTCCAGATATATTTAAAATATCTTAAAATTACAGTGCTACACAAACAATTCTGTGTGTTCCATTTTTTAACACGTAAATTTATCGAAAGGGGAATTCTTTTCAGTGTCAGCCAACCTTTTCTGTTATACCACAGAAAGTTGTGTTGATTCCACTAACTAGTTTGTCTTATTCCATCCTAGCCCTCTTAATTTTCTATTTTTGTTCTAAGAAAATTAAAGACATTCCTTCTCTATTACAACAATGCACAAAAAGGCAGAAACGGGGGTTGGAGAAAGCAATGGAGAAACTGACAGAAAGCCGAAGGAAGAACATGGGGGTTAGATGGGCGGGAAGACATCAGGGTTTAAATATGCCGTGTCATTCTCCATTAGCTAACAGTCCACTAGTTATTGCTGAGAATATTAGCATTTGAGTGTGAAGCGGTGAGCCAGACACATTCCTCCTCTGTAAAGGGGAATGCTATTTTTGAGTAGGGGACGGGGCAGCAGAAGAGATGAGGAAGAAATCTGTTGGATTACTCCGAGAGGATGGATTTGCATTAATGGGCTAGCAGATGAATACTGGAATACAAAGAGAAATTAAAGACTCACAGATGCACAGAGGACTCAATCTTTGGAGGTAGAAAACAGAAAGAAGAAACCATACTGTTTCATTCATAAAGTGCAATGGATGTCCTTCTTTCAGTCGTGGTCTTTCTCTAAGGAATGATAAGAAGCATGGCTGAGCAGGATGTGCAAAGAAGGCGGTTGCCATCATTCCTTATGAAGAACAGTTTTTTTTCCTCATATCCAACCTATTTTGGTTTTTGCCCCATCAGCATTCCCAACCCTCCTTGTTGATCTCGATTGCCAGACTTGTGAGGCACAAAATGTATCTATGATAGTTTTCTGTGGAATTGGAGTGCATTTTGACTATTCAGTGATGGCAGAACTCATTGAAGAACCATTCTGGGGCAATTTCTCAGATGAAGACATTGACTTTAAGGAGCAGAGTTCTCTCACAGGAGTTTTGGGAGCAATCCTCCTGATGTGCTTCGTTAGGATGACAGGGAATATCTATACACTGGTGGTGGCATTTGGCAGCATGGCAATTCGTTCAGCAAGCTGTTTGTGTTTGTATGTTATTAACTCGGCCTTGGCAGACTTACTCTATCTTTCCACCATCCCCTTTGTGGTCTGTACCTATTTTGCCCAGGACTGGTTCTTTGGGGATGCACGATGCAGATTTTTGCTTAGCTTGGACTTGCTCACAATGCACGCTAGCATCTTTCTGCTGACGGCCATGAGTTTGGAGCGTTATTGGGCAGTGACCAGACCGCTAAAGGTTAGGATTGTTGGGAACAGTTATCGTAAGGTTGCCAGCCTTGCTGTGTGGCTTCTGTCATTGTTGCTTACAATACCAATGATGGTCATGATCCAGCAGCGGGAAGGTGGAAGCCATAAACATATTTGCTTTCCCACGTGGACACCTGATGCCTTCCGAGTTTACCTCACAGTTCTCTTTGGCACTATCATCTTAACACCTGGCCTTGTCCTAGCCATATTGTACTCACGTCTTGCATGGAACTATTGGATTTCTACAAAAACTATGCAGCCTCAGGTGACATGCAGAATGTTGAAACAGAAGCTGTTCTCCAGAATCTTCAGCATCACTGTGGCCTATTGGGCTTGCTTTGTACCATTCTGGGCCTGGCAATTAGCCAAATTGTACTGGTCAATGGACTTTGAGCTTGGCTCTACTGCTCAGGCTTACCTCAACTTTGGTGTTACCTGCTTGACCTATAGCAACAGTTGCATCAACCCATTCCTTTATACCTTGCTAACAAAAAAAATACCGTGAGTACATAGCAACTCAGTGTGAGGAAAGACAAGGCAGGCAGTTTGCCTTCTTCAAAAGAGGGCGAGATGTAAAACCTCAAGCAGAACATGTATCTGCAGCAGAGGGAGTTGACCAGATTGAAGAAACAGAAGATATCCATTAATAATGAATGTCAAATATGTCATTGTTCCTCAGGTTCATCCAACTCACTTAATCCAAAAACTTCAACCTTTTGGGCTCCATGGGTACATTGAGAATTTTGATAGCACGTGATAGGAACTCATGCAGATTAGTGAGAATATTCCTGCTGACCTCTCTAGACCTTAAGATAATCTCAGTCTACATTTTCCTTACTCTGAGCTGTCAAGCACGCTTCCAAATTAAGCATGGGCTGCAGCCACTTAACATTTTTATTTTCAAGGATTGCTGGTGGAGATTATGAAGGCTTAGAGAGGTATTATTCAGAAGGAAAAATAGTGCTAAAGAGTGGGATATTGCTTTGAGTCCTAGTAAATTATGATTTGATTATTCTCCAGAACCAGCTGGGAAGGGTAATCAGCATAAAAGGAGATATCCATGATAAACTGGTAACAATAGGCATCTTGTTGCAGATGCTAGATAAAGGTGTGCAAAATGTGATGTGTTTCGCTATCAGTGATTCAGTCAGGTAGCCTAAGGGGATGAATCATCCTGGCACCTATTGGCCATTTCAGGCTGGTGTGGGGACAACCTTCCCTTCTGGTCTCTGGGCATCTCCTCCAGGGTCCTTTTCTTCCAAGGAGATGAGAGAACCCACCTTTTTCAAACCAGGCTTTCCTACCCCCTGACAGAAATTGCAGATCACTCATGGGCATGAAAAAGTATCCCACTGAACCTGGGGAGGTTTTATTATTTTTAAGGGTGGCTTTATCTGCAAATTTGGATGCTTTTTTCAAAACCCTACAGCTGCACGTGCTGCTGTTGCTGAGAAAGGGGTAGGTGAACCATTGGGAAGAGAAGGTTTAGAAAAGAATACTCGCTCTTGAGAAAGGGACTCAAAATAACCCTGCCTTGATTTTATTTGGCATAAGATATAGTAAACAAAAATAGACAGGCTTAGTTTCAAGATATTGCTATTCTATCCTAAAACAATAAAAAGCATATCTGAAAACTCTACTGGCTTGTTTCCTGTCTATTTACCTCCAAGTGCTGACAGCAGTACAGTTACTTCTGGTTCCAGGGTGGGCGGTGGGTGGGTGGGTAGCAATTTTTTTCCTCCCGACAATCAGCTGTAGATAAGATCAGCTGTGCAGGGATTCCCCTTGCTGAGGCCCAGGAAGGCAAAAAATGGAGGGAGGAGCTCAGCCCTCCCTCCATTTTTTGCCTTCCAGAGTCCCAGAGGAGCCTTAGGAGAGCAAAAATGACCCCTTGAGGCTCCTCTGAGGCTAGGAAGCTCCCCAAAACCGGTGGGGGCTGCAAAAAAGCCACGCCCACCCAGTCACATGGCCACGCCCAGCAAGCCACGCCCACAGATCCGGTAGTAAAAGTTTTTGAATTCCACCACTGACCTCACCCCATTCCTAAGAAGTCCGTAAAGGGGGCGCGCATAAGCCTACCAGCGTGCCTACCATCCCTGTCTTACTGTCCCCATTGCAATCTAGAAGAGGTTGTAGTCTGCATGATTCTTTCCTCACCACCAGATGGCAGACTGCCTTCTTTAGATAAAATAGGATAATTAGGAACCTGGTTTATCAGGACTTTCCTTGTGGGTATATCCAGGGGTGAGATTCAACCGGTTTTACTACTGGTTCAGTGACTACATTTTGTGCGCACGTGTAAAATACCTTAAGTTGTTCCATCTGGACAGCTGAAAAGCGCTGTGTGTGGGTGTGCAGCGTTTGAAAAGCCTCTATTGTCCTGCTTTTTCAACCTCAGCTGTGCTGCGCAAAGCAGCTGAGGTTGAAAAAGCAGGAAATAAAGGATAGCCAAGAGTCTGGGTGGGCGCCTGGACCAAACAGCGGGAAACACAAAATCGGTTCGGTATCTGCTGCTCTTCAGAGCTACCGGTTCTATAGAGACGGGCAGAATCGGTAGCATCCCACCCCTGGGTATATCTATGTCACATGCCCGGTTTAAAGCTGAGCCCCCATAGCCAGGAGGTGGGCAAGGCTATTCCCTGGTGGATAACAGGCAACATAGCCAAGAGAGATTAACTCTAAAGTTTGTCTTTTCTAAAATTGGCAACCCACAGGCATTGCTCCGTGCCTTTACTCAGAACAGCAAACTGGTTCAGATATACAGGTAGTCCTTGACTTCTGATCACAATTAGCACCAGAATTCCCATTGCTAAACAAGGTAGCTTTTAAGTGGATTGGATTTTATGACCTTTTCTGCCACAGTGGAGCAAATAACTTCAGTGAATCATGTGGTTATTAAGCAAAGCCAGCTCTCTCCCCCCCCCCCCCCCCCCCGACCTTGTTTGTCAGAAACTGGCTGGGAAGGTGGCAAATGGTGATCACACAACCTGGAGACATTGCCACCATCATAAAAACATGCTGGTTACTAAGTGTGCAAATTTTGATCACAAGACTGTGAAGAAAGCTGCTATGGTCATAAAATGTGAGGCCTGGTCATAGGTAACTTTCTTGAGTGGTGTTGCAACGTTGAATGATTGCTAAATGAATGGTTGGAAGTGGAACACTATATTTTAGAAATCCCCAAACTCTGAGTTTATCTCTGCTTTTTATAAGATTCTTCCTGCCTGACATGGAGATTTTAAAATGTATACATCTGTCATATATT